ACCATCGATGAGATAAAACTTTTTGTTATTTTGTTTGCAGACGACGCAGTATTTTTTGCGCACACACCGGTAGCCTTACAGTCAATGCTCAATGATTTACAACTTTATTGTTTCAATTGGGGTATGAAAATTAATACAAAAGAAGACAAAAATAAAGACATTCTTCTTACGATTTCAAACTAAATAACGAATCATTAGAAATTGTAACACAATTCAAATATTAAGGACTGACTCCATTCAAGAACGGTCATTGGAATCGCACCCAAAAAACTCTTGCGCAACATTCCCTTTACGTTCTCCATAATTTATTTATTGTATTCAATCAGTTAGAATTAAAAGTCGTGGATAAATGCAAGCTTTTCGACAGTCTTGTAAGTTCTATTCTTAATTACGGGGCAGAAGTATTTGGATATGACGAAGCAAAGGATATTGTATTAGTTCATTGTAAATTTTTACGAAAAGTACTTAATGTTAGGAAGTCAACAAATTTAGAGGGTCTATACGGAGAGCTTGGCCGACATTCAATGAGAATTCAAAGAAAAATTATACTTGTTAAATATTGGTTAAAGATTATAAATCTCGAAGAAAATTGTTAACTTAAACAAATGTACAACATACTTAAAATTGACGCTGACAACGAAAATTCATATAGAGGGAAAAATTGGGCCTATCATATCAAATCTATTCTTCAGGAGATAGGGATGTCTAATTTATGGTTAACTCAGTATGCTAATCAAAATAATTTCATTTCTATAAAAAAACAGAATTTTGGACATATATAAACAAGACTGGTATAGAAAAATAAATAATTCAAATCGATTATCTTCCTGTTGTACTTTCAAACATGAATTTAATCAAGACTTATATCTAAGTGTTATAAATACGAATAAATTCAGAATAGCTTTAACAAAATTTAGACTGTCAGCACATAATCTTGCCATTGAAACAGGTAGACATCAAGGAACGCCTAGGGAAGAAAGAAAATGCCAAAAATTTACCATGAATGTAACTGAAAATGAGTTTCATTTCCTCCTTATATGCCCAAATTATTGTAACTTAAGGAAACAATATCTAAAACCATATATTTGTAGGTGGCCTACTATTAAAAAATTCGAATTACTGATGACAAATAGAAATCTGAGAGAAATTATCAATTTATCAAAATATTTATACTTTGCATTTCAAAAAAGAGAATTAAAAAATAGTTAGAATGAAATAAACTGAAAATATATAACTTTTAAGAGGTAAATTTATTGTTCTATTCTGTTCTTTATTAATTTTTGTTTTGTACCATTCTTCTGTAAATTTTTAAATATTGTACAATGTTTGTAACACGTTTATCCCTTTTCATATGTAATTGAAAGTATATTGGCTATATGTATGCTCATGCTATTTTATGCCAAATGAAGATTATGTTATATTATGTTATGTTATGTTATGTTATGTTATGTTATGTTATGTTATGATTAAAAAAGCCCAATGAAATATTAGCCATACGTTTATTGGTTTTTCAGGAAGGGAAATAATTGACCAAAATTACATTATCTACCTCTTTTTATTTATTCATTGTTTTTGATACTTTGGGGAAGAATTATAATTGAATGTCTATGATACATTTTGAATAGTAAAAATAATAATTATAAAAAAAAGATTGACTATGAGCTTGTTATTTAGGATCAGAAAAAAAGGGCATAGCAGGGTATAGATGATCACATGGTCACCTACACTTTTGAAATACATTCTATTTTTTTTATATATTATATATGTATAAACAAGTAATATATTAAAGTTGCATATTACGTTTAAAAGTTTTTGAGAAATGTACATTAGGAAAAACTATTTATTAGCAACAATGGCAAAGGTTTAATTGCCCTTTCAACATAACGTAGGACAAGTGTGAAGTGATACATGTATGAATACATATATTTCATAAAAAAAAAAGACAATAAAAATTTAAAAAAAAAAAACAAAAAAAAAACAACAACAAAAACAAAAACTATTCTTAACAAAAATGTATTCCAGGTTCCAGGGACAAAAAAGCAAGAAAAAAAGCATAAATTTGCTGAAAGAAATTCAAGAATTATCTACCTTTTTGATGACACAATTTTATATTGAACATAATTATATGAAAAACATCAGTTTCTGAGAGAACTGACATTATTGAAAAGGTCATTTATTATTTAAGGTCAAATTCAGTCTGGTCTACACGAAAGTCTAGTCAAAGGTCTAGTCCAAAGGAAGTATGAGGACAATAAAAAAGGAAAATTAATGGCCAACGTTAAATTTTCCGGACGGCAACGGCAACTTTAGCTTCACAGAAAAAGATATAAACGTGTTTTCAATGTCTATATAAACTAAGTGACCCAAGCGGTTGGGCTAATTTTGACCCCATGCACATTATCTAAATAATTATTAAAGAAGACAAAAAATATGATGCTACAAGCCAAATGTCTAAGCTCTACACATTGTAGTTTCTGAGAATAAGTTTTTCAAAGATTTCATTTTTAAAATCTATGATAGCTCTTGTGACCGACTTAACAAGAGCAAAGTTTAAAACTTTTGTAAAATGCCATTCTAGGATCAATCCTGGGAAAGTCTGGCTAAAGTACATCTTGTTGTATTAGTGAAATAATGGACAAACGACGTCTGTCGACGAAAAAAGGACACACTAACATCACAATAACTAACCTCTGAGCACTTTATTCTCAGGTGTGCTAAAACACTTGTATTACATAAAACCTGTATAATACCATGAGGACATTTTAAGTACATATTAATCATGTAATACTATAACATGACCGAGAAGTTCGTTCATTTTTACACGTTATACAGTTTTTATTACGTAACGAATATTTTACCTATACTCAAATTATTAACAGGTTAGGTTTTTTTCCCTATGTCTACGTAGCCGGTGTACACACATGATACACAACTCAAAACAACGAAAACACAAACGGTGAAAAGTTGAAATAACGAACGAAACCACGATGGTGAAGAGCCGAGGATGGTGAAATGCCGAGGATGGTGAAATGCCGAGGATGATAAAATGCCGGGGGTACGATGATGGAAAGCAGGAAGCACGATAGTGAAAAGTCGATATAACAAAACCACGGTGGTTAACTCTATATAATTCGTGTGTTCATCAACGTACTTTCAATTTTTCACCATCGTTATTTCTTGTCTGGCATGCACACAGAGATCATAACAATGGATATACCAAGGATAATATAAGACAAGATATTCTTTATTTGAGCCGTGTCATGACAAAACCAACATAATGGGTTTGCGACCAGCATGGATCAAGACCAGCCTGCGCATCCACGCAGTCTGATCAGGATTTACAGACCCTATAACAAGTAAAGAAACTGCTAGCGAACAACATGGATCCTGATCAGACTGCGCGGATGCGTAGGCTGGTCTGGATCCATGCTGGTCGCAAACGCATTACGTTGGTTTTGTCATGACACGGCTCATTTATAGTCGGTTACATCAAACATATAAACATTAGCTATTTAAGACTATCCTTTACAATTACAAAGAGATAATAATGTTAATGGCTTTGGTTGGAACATGAAGTTATCATAAGATTTGTACATTAATTGGTGAAAATCCGGAATAACGAAACAATGAAACCAGAAAGGTCGAAAGTACAATGGTGAAAACATGAAATTATATCGAGTTTTCACCATTTCGACTTTCACTATCGAATGCCCGTAATTTCGTTATTTTTTTAACTTTTCACCATCGTTATTTCGTGTTTTCGTTGTTTCGAGTACGTAAAGTGTCGCAGTGGCCCTTACCGCACATCGCACATTTGTAATGCTGGAGTCGGCTTGACAATAATACCACCCTTGGACCAAAAAAACGACACATAAACCAACAAATAAAAAGCAAGGACGGAAATTATGTCAGTTTGTCATTGAATGACTTTGTCCTAAAAGTTCAAAAATAAAATAAATTTTACAAACGTCTTTTAACAGCATGTTTTGTATTGTGTTACAGATTCATTTTATTGAAGTTTGTAACTTAATAAATTTGTCCCAGTGACATACTAGTACACATATAAAAGCTATATCATTTGTGACATATTTGGTTCAAGTTTGAAGCAACCTGATCACCGTTTAGGTTTCCTTTTTCGTGTTTTTGTATGGCCTGACTAATAAGAAAACAATTAGTGATGGATTTTATTTACTTATTTCATTGCTGTTTTGTTCATGACTTTAAGTGGATAGGTCTACAACGAGCACATTTTCCATAATTATTTCAAATATTGATTAAAACAATATAAATGTATCATTTGGATATTCTTATGAAATGCTGCTTGAGTAAGTGATATAGAATGAACAATTATACGATAAATAATAATATTTTGTTCGGATACATTTTAATATCCCCCTTAATAAATATCACATCTTTTATCTCACACTTGCCAAAAAGTTCCAAATATAATTCTTTCGCGGTTTGTTGTTATGTCTAATACAAAATACTTTCAGAGTAAATCATTCGTTGTATTAACAAACCTTCAATTATAAACCAGTTCTCTTTAATTAAAGAATAAAGACAATTCTTGTTTTCATTAACCAAACATTTTCCTAACTCTTATTTTTTCTATGGTCCTATTTTTTATGTAGATATGTTGACAATAACGCCATGATTTCAGTATTTTATATTTTTACTGTTTGCTTAAAAAGAGAAATTTAACAAGAAGCGAAAAACTGTGCTATTTCAAAAGATTGAGGTAATTGGATCTGGACTTTCAGTGCAAAATCTTGATCAATGCTAGAGCTGCATATGCAAGTAACAATAAATTCACAAAAGAAAAAGAATGAAATAACTCCTGTGTATGTTTCAACCAGCAGTCAACCATAACTTTAATATATTATATATTGTTGGCAGAGGCTATTTAATCACCAGATCCTGCAGGTTATAGGTTAAAGTAGAATGCATCTATCTTCTGTTAACTTACTACTGTTACACATACAAACACACCACGAACACTGTTTATATTTCAATTTCATATATTTCACAAATATTGCATTTATTTATGAACAGTATTTCAATATTATGACATATCAAAGTTTGGATTTTCTAAAGCACATTTTGTAAAACTAACCAATCAGTTAACACCATTTGGGGTGTTACATTGTTCTGGTGTCTTATAATAAATACATTACAAAACATAAAGTTATCACAGACTATTGTTTTTCATTCTGAAATACATTATTTTACATATATACGTGTATTCTTTACAAGTATACAATAATACACTAGTAAAGTATCACTAATGTTTGAGTTCAAAAGTCTTAACATTGAACAAGATGTGCCTTAAAGTGGATTGGTCTATAACGAGTATAATTGAGCCGTGTCATGACAAAACCAACATAGTGCGTTTGCGACCAGAATGGATCCAGACCAGCCTGCGCGTCCACGCAGTCTGATCAGGATCCATACTGTTCGCTTACAAAACCCTATAACACATAGAGAAACTGATAGCAAACAGCATGGATCCTGATCAGACTGTGCGGATGTGCAGGCTGGTCTGGATCCATGCAGGTTGCAAATCCATTATGTTGGTTTTGTCATGATGCGGCTTATATCTTTATAAAGTTATTTTTTCAATATTGATAAAATGTTAAATCTTAAAACAATAAGTGTATAATTTGGATATTCTTATAAAAATATTTCTTAGGAAAAAATGTTGATAAAGCTCTTCAGTTGTTTAGTATGAACAACACATGAAGAATGATAATGTTTGGTTCCAGAACAACCGATGGGACTTCATCAAAGTGGACTATCACTACTATTGGATCATGCATATCACAGTTACCAAACCATTCATATTTCCTATTTTGTTATCATTTATGGCATTGTAATCATATATGGCATTATAATCATTTATGGCAAACAACCATCCATAGTGGGCAAATCCACTTTAAGACTGTTAAAATTCAAGAATTTTGAAAACTTGTTATTTTGGAAACGTCTGAAAACTGATTACCAAATTTATAAAAGCTCTTTACCAAAAGTAAAAAAGCTCTTTACCAAAGGTATAAAAGCTCTATACAAAAGGTATAAGTGCTCTTTACCAAAAGATATAAAAGCTCTTTACCAAAAGTATAAAAGCTCTTTACCAAAGTTATAAAAGTTCTTTAGCAAAGTTATAAAAGATCTTTACCAAAGGTATCAAAACTCTATACCAAAAGTAAAAAAGCTCTTTACCAAAAGTAAAAAAGCTCTTTACCAAAAGTAAAAAAGCTCTTTACCAAAGGTATAAAAAGCTCTTTACCAAAGGTATAATGAGTCAAATATCATGGCTAAGATTAATGTAATCTGCAGACAGACAGGTGGACAAACAAGAGGTACAAATCATCACACACCCATCTATGAATACATTTACAGGCATATAAATAATATATTTTGTTACTGAAAATGCAAAATAAGAAACATTTGTGATATAGATGGCTGTTTAGAGTATTTAACAATGTACCAAAACTATGTGAAAAAAGAAGACAAGAGGGCCATGATGGCCCTGAAGTCGCTCACCTGTATATAGGCCCCCCGGAGCGGGGCAAGTTTAAACCCCAGGGCTTTTATTTGAATAAACTTGGTAGACACCCATTAGAAGATGTTTCATGCTAAACATCTGATAAGGTCTAGCTTGATGGGTTTTTTAAAAAAAAGATTTTTTAAGTTTTTTCTTTACACATATACTAGTATTTTTAAACAAGAGGGCCATGATGGCCCTGAGGTCGCTCACCTGTATATAGGCCCCCCAACCCCCCCCCCCCCCCCCAACGTTGCAGGGCCAATTTAACCCAAGGGCTTTTATTTGCACAAACTTGGTAGAATAATAAGATGTTTCATGCTAAACATCTAAGCTCTTGCTCATTGGGCTTTTTAAAAGAAGATTTTTTTAAAAGTTTTTACTATACACATATAGTTAAAAACAATGACACCCCTGGGGCCGGGCCAGTTTTGACCCCAGGGCTTTTATTTGAACAATCTTTGTAGACACTTACTAGAAGATGTTTCATGCTAAATATCTAAACTCTAGCTATTTTGGTTTTTTCAAAGAAGATTTTAAGTTTTTGCTATACACATATAAAGAAAATCAATGACCCCCGGGGCTGGGCCAATTTTGACCCCAGGTCTTTTATTTGAACAAACTTTGTAGACACTCACTAAAAGATGTTTCATGCTTAATATCTTAACTCTAGCTATTTGGATTTTTTCAAAGAAGATTTTTTAAGTTTTTGCTATACACATATAAGGAAAATCAATGACCCCCTGGGGCGGAGCCAATTTTGACCCAAGGGCACTTATTTGAACAAACTTGGTAGACATCCATTACAACATGTTTCATGCCAAATATCTTAGCTCTAGCTCTTTGGGTTCTTTAAAAGAAGATTTTTAAGTTTTTACTATATGCATATAGGAAAAATCAATGACCCCCTGGGGCAGGGCCAATTTTGACCCCAGGGCTTTTATTTGAACAAACTTGGTAGACACCCATTAGAAGATGTTTCATGCTAAATATCTTAGCTCTAGCTCTTTGGGTTCTTTAAAAGAAGATTTTTTAAGTTTTTACTATATGCATATAGGGAAAATCAATGACCCCCTGGGGCGGGGCCAATTTTGACCCCAGGGCTTTTATTTGAACAAACTTGGTAGACACTTACTAGAAGATGTTTCATGCCAAATATCTAAGCTCTAGCTCTTTTGGTTTTATAGAAGATGATATTTAAAGTTTTTTCTTTTGGTTGCCATGGCAACCAGAGTTCTGCATGGAATTAAATTCTTTGAACAATTTTCAAAGGTGACCACCAAAGGAACATTCCTGTGAAGTTTGGATGAAATTGGCTCAGTGGTTTATGAGAAGATGTCATTTAAAGTAAAAGTTTACGGACGACGGACGGACGCCGGACGAAAAGCGATCACAAAAGCTCACCCTGTCACAAAGTGACAGGTGAGCTAAAAAAATTTACTCACTAATATTTACCAATTTACAGTAAATCACCTGTTCAATAGACATTTGTGTAAAATGCTAAAAATCAGGACAAAAACAAGAAACATTTCAGTAACATAAATAATGAAATGGTATGCAAATACAATCCTTACATTTAACCTAATAAAAACACACAACTTACAATTTGCTAAAAAAATATTTCTTTGAAGAAATTTGAACTTTTGACAAAAATAAAATTTCATCAAATTGTTTCAATGGTATTTGAATTTTCACAAAATATTTAAAAAATATGTGCTTGAAAAAAATGCTTTTCATAACAAGTTTTAACATTCAATAACATTTGACATGAATTGTAGACATTTTTCTTATTTTTTTTATATAAAATACAATACATTTGTTAATATAAAGTATCATGGAATGCATTTATAACATTACAAGAGAGTCATGACAGTCTTGCATTGCTCATCAAAATCAATGTATTAATTTTGTGCCCAAAATTTTATATCTCTTTGATTATGATGTTTTTTTTTAAATGGATTTTACAGTCTAAGTTTGATTGTAACAATAGTATATCTAATGGTTCACAAGTAAAATTTGTTATGTTTTTCTACTAGCAGTCCCTAAATGTGGCCAACAAAAAATGCATAAATTTGGCAGAGAACAATCTTATGATGTCACATACCAACTAAAACTATGATCTAAAACTTGATATCTTTAAAGTTTAATCGAAAAAAATTGTGTTAAAGTTTCTCTATCTTTAGCTTTGGTGACCTATAACAAGGGTCAATTGCTAAAATTGCAATAAGAGGGTCACATGGATGCTTCACAGCAAATTTGAAGAAAATGTCAACATTAATTTCAGAGAAAACCATTGTTGAACCAGGACAGGATAGCAGACTAAAGTATCCCCCTTTCATACTCAAAGCTCATCTTTGGTTCTGGTGAGTAATAAATAACAACCAAGTTTAAAAATAAATAACAATTTATAAAAACTCTATTTTATGGTATATCAATGTCAGGACACTAACATGACAACACTTATGATGTTTTAAGCATAAAATTATATGTATATGGTGCATGGTGGCTAACTTAGGCCAGGTCATATTTTCCCCCCTTGAAAAATGGCAAAAATACAAAGATACAGCAAAGCTCAACTTTTTTGTATCTATGTCTTTTGACATTTTTGCATTTTAGAACAGCAAGATTAGGCTTTTGAAAATTCTGGGAATGCTTCATACTTTTTTTAAATATATAATTCCTTAGTATTCAAAAGCAAATAACAGGGAAAGAATTCTTGCATCATATTTCATCTACACGATTACAGCATCCTATCTCCAACTGCCTTCACTAAACAGGTACAAGTATATCGATCTACCAAAATATGAAGATTATAATATAAATGTAATGAAATTGTTCCCCTTTTTTAATATAAACCGGTCATGTGAAATTTTGAACAACAATCATTGTGTCAATAATATACATGTATATATATATATATATCTCTATGGCACATAAAAAGCAACAATATTTATCAAAATAACAACACAACAAACAAATATGAGTAAAATTTACAACAGATATGGGATGACATAAAATCTCTAAGCCTCTCTCACCAAAACCTCTCTCTCTTTTAAATATTTAACATTGAACTTCCAGCACCACACTAAATACTGTATTCCGGTATTTACCGGACAAGGTGCTTGAATGATTTAATCTTTCCTTTTTGCCCACTGAAATGCACTTTAAGATCCTTACCCATCTGTTCACACCTATTTATATAATTATGTTAATAAATAAATATTGTAAGAATTAGCAAAATAAAGTGATTTTTTTTTTCTACACTGTGATCAGGTTTTCTGTAAGCATCTGCTTTGCTTAACAGTTACTCGAGAGCTAGATATTCCCATCTGTACTGACAGCCAGTGTTTGATTCTTTTTCTTGCTTATTATATATCAATTATTTTCAGAACAGAAATTAAGAAAACTGATATTCTCATTAATGTCTTAACTTCATCTAACAAACAATATGTTCCGTTCAATTTTGGTATACATGTACTTGACATTTTCAGTAAATTTAAATGCCAGCAAAAAACACAACTGGATTATGAACAAGAGTCAGATCTAGATTAGAGATATTTATACTATTAGAATCTTACATTGGCTGCCCTTACAGACTGGAAGGTAACTGTTTACTGCGGTAACGATGCTCTGCAAAGTTAGGCTCTGCAAAGTTTCTGCTAAATAATTACCCTAGAGCTAGATATTCCTGTCTGTGACAACAGCTGGTACATGATTCTTTTATTGCATTATTACATATCAATTATCTTCAGAATGGAAATTACGAAAACTGATATTCTCATTACCCACTTACATTTTACAATAGCGTATGAACTTACAACTTCACATTTATTACAGTAAAATGACGACATCCTTAGAAAGCTCTTTATTTATAAAAGGTGCGCAGCAATGTCATTTAAAGCACGCAACTTGTCTTTCATTGGGGTTGTAAGACAGCTTTTTCTAGCACTGGTGTAAACGGTCGATAATCCTGTCGGATATGCAAGAAATCACTGAACATAATTGAATGACATTGTAACATGTTAAAAGACACTTTAACATCTGGAAACATTCTTAAATATGCTCTGTCTGGAAAATCATATGAAGCTTCGACAAGAAAAAATAGCTCTGCCTAGAAAAAATGAAGCTCAGCTCTGAAAAAAGAATAGCTCTACCAAGAAAAAAAACAAAACAACAAAATCATACCTAATATAATAAATAAGAAGTTAGTTCTTTACTAAAGTCAAAATTTAAAAATTAAAGAAATGATTGGACAGTTGCTATCTGACTTGTTGCTGTAACATTTAATTCTTACTTGTGAAAATTTCAACATTGTTTTAAAATTAATAGTAAATTTCCTTTTTTAGTGAATAAAAGTTAAGGGATATAAGGCACTTTAATCAACATAAACCATTCACTAAACTTTGAAATCATAGGAAAAGATAGCATTTTCTATTTTCATAAATGTGCAGATAAAGTTAGTAAATTCACCATATTTTTGCACATTAACCAAGCTGCAAATACATTGCATGGATAAAGAGTAATATTTTTCATTTTTTTAAATTTTCATACATAATTGTTAGATAAATTTGATTTCTCAAAAATTTACTTGCTAATCTAAAGGCGGGTCATCAAACATCAACAAAAACTTTTTCATACTAGTGCATATTAACATTGTGTTATAATAATGAAACTAAACCCCTTACAAACATATCAAAGTGATTTTAAATATTTTTTTTTACACAAAATGTTTGCTAACTTTCATCATCTTCATTGTCCATTCCCTGAAATTAAAAAAGTAAAATCTATGAATCAAGTACATTCAGCACTCCTAAGAAATACTTGATTAAAATTCTTGCAAATTTCATCTGCAGAACATATCTGCAAACTTTTCAAAATTCTTATACTTATAGGAAACAATAAATCATGCGTAATTATTTTCTAGATAACTTTTCATTTATGTTTTAACTTCAAGGCTTGAGCAGAACTATGATGTTCAGAAAACTAGTATGTGTGTTTCCTATTAATGTTTACATAAAATTTACTAGCAGTAACTAATATTTCGGTAACATGTTCCATCTCAAAGCAGTAAAAAGCAGCAAAAATAATTTTTTTGACACAACAGTAATTAAAGCCTTGGTTTTGATAATCAGATTTTAAGTTAAATTATATACAGAGTTTCAATGATATGAATGCTAAACTGATTTCTAAAGGTAACGATCTCTGTGCAAATAAATGAGTTTGAAAGTGTTCAAAAGGTACACTAGTCTATTTGTTACATATGGGAATGGTTTCAAAAGTGCAACAGAGACCAGACTAGGAATAAACTCTAGCGATTGGTCAATTCAATATGCTTTAAATCAATATATCAAATACAAGTTATCTTTCTCTAGCATGATATTGCAAAATCAAGGACAAAAGTGTCGATATGGTGCAATAATAAAAGCATGGATGAATTATTCGGGTAATACATGTATGTGCTATTTTCTGCTTACATAAATAGCACTGTTCAACTATGTTAATCCCTAAAATGGAAAGAAGCTTGCTATTTTGAAAACAATTCTATTCATGAATTTATTTTTGCGAAAAGGCAACATTAAATATGACAAATAATTAAAATGGTTTTGTCCAGATTAAAAAATGGACAAGTTCATTTAAGATTTTAAGCACAATTATTAGGGCAAAGAGTGGCCTCAGTCTTATAGAACTCTGTCATATGCCTAGGTCACAAATAAAACGGGCGCCGTCCGATTAAACGATTTTTATAAAATCGGCAGATTTTTTGATGTCCGTGAACGCCGGGCGATTTTAAATCTGATACCTTGCGTGGTCATGAATGAAACGGTCGTCGGGCGATTTTTGCCGATTGGATTTTACAGAAAGAATTGAACGGATCGGGCGGTCACCGCCCGATGTCCGTACGGCGCCAGTGCGATTTAAAAGTGAATCGGACGGTTGCCGCGCGGGCGCCGGGCGACAATGACTTTACATTTAATGACATCCTAGATAAATCAGCCAGCTGTAATTATGCCAGCAAAGAAGTCAGCTGCCAAAGCCAAGGGGAAGGCCAAGGAGTTGGTCCGTGTTGTTGACAACGAGTCACCAACGGCCAGTATCGAGGCCGTAGAAGGCGAAAATCAATCAGACATTCGCATGGACATTGAAGAAAAAATTCATGTTTACTAGTATTCAAAAGAAATTCACAAATATATTTTTGAGGCAATTACAACTTTTTCAAGCTGAAATTACAACAAATTCAAGCAGCCCGGTCGCCGGATGACAAAACGATGACCGCCCGGTGCCTGTACATGAATCGTCCGGGTACCGGGCGATAATCGTTTGACTACTTAGCTCTATTCAGGGGCCCGGCCGATGTCCGCCCGGACGCCTTTTAAATCGGACGATGTTTTAGTAGAACAAAAAATCGCCCGATCAAAAAAATCATCGCCCGGTCGCCGCCCGGCGACCGAACGATGTCCGCTCGATGATATTTATACTCAGTGACCCCAAAAATTATCGTCCGGCCGCCGTTAGCTTTTAAGTATTACTTAAAACTCGAAGGTGCCCGCCCGATGAGCAAAATTTTCAGCTGCTGCCGTCCGATAGTCACTGCCGCCGGACGGACGCCGGCCGATATTGCGATTTTTTGGAGAAACAGACGCCGCCCGGCGGCATTTTTTTATTTGTGACCTAGGCTATAGGTAAGTTATTCTAGCAGCCATATAACTAAGGTGGGGTTTCTGTGATTAATGATCAAGATGAATTATACAGAATATGTTCATTTGAAAAACAATACTTGAAATTTTATTTAGAAAACTGGTGCTTATTTGGTATCCAATCATATAGAAGAAGAAAATAAGAATTAAAAATCCCATTAATTAAAGACACATTAACATTGTTTTATTATTGAAAAAGCACTTTATTTCTGGTATTTCGTTGCAGTTTCCAAACTATGACTCATTGGGCATATAAGTGAAATATGATTTGCTTCTTTTTTGCTAACTGGAAATTGGTATAGATATAGTAAATGGAAGTCAAAATGCTTCTTTGTATATTTTTTATTTTTTGTTTAAAACATTTAATTCTTTTTTCTCATTTGAGTATTTGGTAAAATTGGTCTTTGACTGAGAAAGCATTATACAGTAACAACAAGGTCAAATTTTCTTTTTAGATTTATCCGAAAATAAGTTGAGTTTTTTTTTATACCAGGTGTTTTGTACAACAGTTGATTACCATTTAATACAAACATTTTGACATTTTGAATAGTGTCTCTCAAATGAAAACAATTTCATAATATGATTTATACCATGACAAAAAAATTATGCTCAATAAAGATCTCTTATTTCTTTTAGAGATTTTATGAACTTGTTTACAAATTGTAAATATTTAAGCACACAAAAAAATCCAAAAAAGAAAAGAATTCCACTCCCAAGGTAATTGTTTTGTCACAAATAAAGTCCATCGACAGTATACTTATGAGAAATTTGAACAAACATTCTATTTTAAAGTACATTTTGTTACAGTATCCACTTGCTGCTTTATTTCTTTGTTTATAAAAAGACCTAATAAATTGTTTATAAAAAGACCTAACAAAATATCAGGGATATATTTGTGCCTTTTGAAGTCTGATATCATTTTCAAGACGAAAATACTCCACAATTGCTATGATATCAAAGGTAAAGACCTTATAAAATATCAGGTATATACATTGTATTTGCCTTTTGAAATCTAATATTATTTTTCAAATGAAAATACCCTACAACTGCTAGATATCAAAGTTTTACCTAACGGGGCTGGATTTCAACACTGGTATTCTCTTACAGTAAGTACTGTTTTTCACCGTGCTAAAGAGTACATAAAATTATTTTAAATCTCACATTTTGGCCTAAATATAAGCGTTGTCACATTTTTCTGTTTTAACATGCCTTTTCCCCCCCCCTAAAACCAGTTATAAATTTTAACTAGAACTGCCACTGTCATGGCGTGAATACCCCCGCATACCACTTTGTAAGAATCAACAGAGGCCATTTAGAACTCAAGGACAACCACCCAGCCAAATCTTAGGTTACTAAGCCAGTGCATTGCTAAGATATGTATTCTCCATGCTTCAAATGTGAAAATTTTAAAATCAAGTGTTTTTAGTCAAGGCCCCTGTGACCTTGACCTTTGACCCAGTGACCTCAAAATCAATAGGGGTCATTTACCAATCATGACTAACCTCCATGCCAAATATGACAACTGTGGGTCAAAGGAATCTCAAGTTATTGGGAGGACAAGGTTTTTTTAGGCCCCTGTGACTATGATAAAAAAAAATATGCTCAATAAACATCTCTTATTTCTTTTAGAGATTTTATTAACTTGTTTACAAATTGTAAATAGACCTATATAAGCACAAAAAAAATCCATAAAAAAAGAATTCCACTCCCAAGGTAATTGTTTTGTCACAAATAAAGTCCATTGACAGTAAACTTATGAGAAATTTGAACAAACATTCTATTTTAAAGTACATTTTGATACAGTATCATTACCCACTTGCTGGTTTATTTCTTTGTTTATAAAAAGACCTAATAAAATATCAGGGATATATTTGTGCCTTTTGAAGTCTGATATCATTTTCAAGACGAAAATACTCCACAATTGCTATAATATCAAAGGTAAAGAACTAATAAAATATCAGGTATATACATTGTATTTGCCTTTTAATCTGATATTATTTTCCAAATGAAAATACCCTACAAATTCTATAATATCAAAGTTTTACCTAACAGGGCTGTATTTCAACACTGGTATTCTCTGACAGTAAGTACTGTTTTTCACCATGCTAAAGAGTACATACTAATTTTAAATCTCACATTTTGGCCTAAATATTAGCGCTGTCACATTTTTCCCTTTAAACATGCCTGGTCATTTTTTTCCCCAAAAACCAGTTATAAATTTCAATAACAGGTGAGGCTAGCTATTAACATTAGAAGCTTTAGATTGATCTAAAGTTTTAAACATACATTTCTTTATTTATGTCAAGATATGACATTTTGTTTTTTTTTAAATCTGTTTTTTTACGATTGCATGCTATCATATCTTTTACAGTCTAGTCCTTACTAACAACAGTCACGCCATAATAGAATATGTTGTTAAAAAATATGTACCTGTTGTTGAGTACAACAAAATAAAAGCAAAATGTGCTATCTACATTTCAATAAAACTTGTTAATGTCAAAAACCCTATGTTCCAACTCGGTCTAAATCCTTAAAAGACACAGTCAAGTACTTGATAGCTGCAGGGAAATGGTTTGACCAATCAAATAAACTTCAAACTTTTATCAAATTCACACAAAACTTCACCAAAGAGTGACACCAATGCATGGGTGAGTATATAGCTCTCATAATTCTTCGAAAAGTCATACTAAAAATCAAGTGCAGCAACAAGTCCTCAGCAGGTCAAATTGAATTAAATGAAATACAAAATTCATTAGGATGACCTAAACATTTAAAATGTAAACAATGTCACAGTACATTACCTTGTATGCGTCATCACCAACAACTTGAAGATATTTCTTTTGACGATATGTTTGTCTAGCTTTTAATACATATAATACCATAATATCACACAAAACAGTTGCCTGCAATAACAAATATATATATACTCTAAATATTTATACTCTAATAATAAATATCCCTCCCCTTATAAATGCCCAAATGGTTTGCTAATTTCCTAAGTTTAAAACTGCTTTTGGAAATTGTAATGCCCTCTATATTATTTTTAGAGAATAACTAGAAATTATAACATTATATAACATATGAGTGCACCAGTGACTCAATCTCTATAACTGAAACAAGAGAGATCAGTGATCACATGTGTCACATTTTTGTGACAGACGGACAGACAGATAGACAGTGCACAACTAGATTTGGTACTGATCATTCCTGTAAAGTTTGGATAAAATTGCACCAGTAGTTTATGAGGAGTAGTCCGGACAAGCTTTTGTGTATCTGGCAACACACAGAAAAAAACACCTTTTTATCAAAGGGCCATAACTCGGCCAAAAATCATTCAACTGGAAAGCCCGTGCAATATGCGCAAGGACTTGAGCTATAGATCAATCCTGTAAAGTTTCATTGAAATTGCATTAGTGGTATAAGAGAAGTAGTCAGGACAAACTTTAAACATAAAAATTATTAAAGGGCCATAACTCTGAAAACAAGAGCCGGTTGAACCGGGTGATGCTCCCCGAATAGGTTTTGGACACAGGAAGGTATACCTCTTGTAGTGTCAGAGTTATGTCACAGACAAAGTTCAAAGTGTAAAAACAACCCAAATGTTGTGCACGACACATTGTCTCAATATGGTGATTGGCGTCCGCGCCGAAGCGCGGCGCCTATTGGAATGAAATGAGATTTTGTGAAAGGGCGACAGCAACTTCTCGAGCCTTTTATAGTTGCCAATAATAAAAGCCGATCATTCCGATCGGTATGAGGGTGCTTGATTATTAATAAGTCGCGATATGTACAATGAATGGCGAACTGGAGAATTTTCGCAATGCAAACATTTTCAAATTAAATAACCTTTTCCGTCAATAAATCGCGCTCTTCGGGGTATTTTTGCTTATCATTTTGTAGTACACAGCTGGGTTATTATGGTATGTTATTCCGAAAGCTGTTAATAGAATGATGAGTTGATGACCTAAATATTCCGAAAATCTATTTATAGAGGGATGTACTCCTATTGGTAATTCCCGGTCTCCTCCGGGATTTACTAATGACTGGCGAATAGTACCACACGTTTATTGTCCGGTCTCTCCCGGTTTTGGAGTAGATGTTTGATATCGTTACAGAACAGAACAAATATTTTACAGATAAATAAGCTTTTTTTCAAAATGAATGTTTGTCACTTAGTTTGGTTACAATAATTAATAAACACAGATCAACTCTCGAATTGATTGATTATTATTATACATAAACATACAATTCGAAAAAAAAACAAAAAACAACAACACAAATCGCATGTTATATTTTATCTATATGAGATAAAAACAATAAATATGTACAATAATTGAGAAAAAATGTACATTTTTATGGCATTAATATGACACTATCAACTTTAAAACATTTTATTTAATTTGTTATTCGTGTTTAGTAAAGATTCCGAGGAATTATTCAAAGTTACAAATCAGATTTTATGAATTATTCAATTGATTGATAATTTAAAAAATGATAAAGAAAAATACAAATCTACATGTATATGGTTTAAGAATAAACAATATTATATATTGAAAGTTTAACCATGAATTACTGACTTTTTCCAGTTAAGTTTTGACTTATAATCGTCGATCATTATGACAATTGAATTCTTAAAATAGAAGTAAACGTAAAAACTCAGTATTAAAATAGCGCATAAAACACACACAAAAAAAGAAAAGAAAACAATATTCATAAAATCTGTATTTTTTTATTAAAATAGAAATTACATTTATTGAATAATAAACAATTATGCTCAACATGATCAACATGGTAATATAACAAGTGTCATATTGTTACTTAGTGTGAACAGATACCTTAAGAGGGGGTCCTCGCTAATAGCGATAACATAATAAGGGACAATTACACAAGTATGGTGTTGATCATGCGTTACACATATGGATTATAAATGATTGTATACATGTATATCCGTTGCTATTAATAACCACGATCATAAAGAAATAACAAGTAATATTCTAATTTCTAGCATGCCGATCAAAGTTATAAATAATGAACAATGTCTTTCGTCCGTTCATTCAAAAGTGATATACAATTCTGGTAAAACCCAATGAACCATTGAAAAGTTTATAAGAATATCTTGTCATCATATATCTACTAGTTCATCTGCACCTGCTGTTTGGACGCCCTTTGATGCTTTGCATCAATGCTTTTCTTGTCATTTCTGTGAAATAGTTGTAAAATCAGACTTCAAATAAGGAAGTTATGGGCTAGACACGATTTTGCTGCAAGGTCATGCTGTGACCTTGACCTTCAAGGTAGCGCCCCAAATATTGCATGTGACACGTCGATTCAATATGGTGATCATCCCTGTGTGAAATAGTTGTTAAATCCGACTTCAAGGAACGAAGTTACTGGCCGAACGCGATTTTGCTGCAAGGTCATGCTGTGACCTTGACCTTCAAGATAGCGACCCAAATGTTGCGCGCGACACATCATCTCAATATTGTGATCATTTCTGTAAAAAAAATTTAAAATCTGACTTCAAATAACGATGTTATGGGTTGGACAAGATTTTGCAGCAAGGTCATGCTGTAACCTTGACCTTCAAAGTAGCGACCCAAATGTTGGGCGCGACACGTTGTCTTAATATGGTGATCATTTCTGTGAAATAGTTTTAAAATCTGACTTCAAATAACAAAGTTATGGGCTGGACATGATTTTGCTGCAAGGTCATGCTGTGACCTTGACCTTCAAAGTAGCGACCCAAATGTTGCGTGCGACACGAAGTCTACATATGGTGATCATTTCTGTGAAATAGTTTTAAAATCCGACTTCAAATAAAGAAGTTATGGGCCGGACACAATTTTGCTGCAAGGTCATGCTGTGACTTTGACCTTCAGGGTAGCGACCCAAATGTTGCATGCGACACATCGTCTCAATATGGTGATCATTTCTGTGAAATAGTTTTAAAATCCGACTTCAAATAAAGAAGTTATGGGCCGGACACGATTTTGCTGCAAGGTCATGCTGTGACCTTGACCTTCAAGGTAGCGACCCAAATGATACGCGCGACACGTTGTCTCAATATGGTGATCATTTCTGTGAAATATTTTTAAAATCTGACTTCAAATAAAGAAGTTATGGACCGGACACGATTTTGATGCAAGGTCATGCTGTGACCTTGACCTTCAAGGTAGCGACCCAAATGTTGCGCGCGACACGTCGTCTCAATATGGTGATCATTTCTGTGAAATAGTTTTAAAATCCGACTTCAAATAAAGAAGTTATGGACCGGACACAATTTTGATGCAAGGTCATGCTGTGACCTTGACCTTCAAGGTAGCGACCCAAATGTTGCGCGGGACATGTCGTCTCAATATGGTGATCATTTCTGTGAAATAGTTTTAAAATCTGACTTCAAATAACTAAGTTATGGGCCGGACACGAATTGGGACGTACGGACAGACTGACGGACGGACGGACAACCCGACGACTATATGCTCCCTCGAAATTTTTCGGGGAGCATAAAAATCATTGAACCAGAAAATGCTGACAATATGCACATCTATACTTGGTACTGATCATTCCTGTAAAGTTTGGATAAAATTGCACCAGTAGTTTATGAGGAGTAGTGCGGACAAGCTTTTGTGTATCTGGCAACACACAGAAAAAAACACCTTTTTATCAAAGGGCCATAACTCGGCCAACAATCATTCAACCGGAAAACCTGTGCAATATGCCCAAGGACTTGAGCTACAGATCAATCCTGTAAAGTTTCATTGAAATTGCATTTGTGGTATAAGAGACGTAGTACGGACAAACTTTAAAAATAAAAATTATTAAAGGGCCATAACTCTGACAAAAATGATTGAACTGTAAAATGCTGACAATATGCACAACTATACTTGGTACTGATCATTCCTGTAAAGTTTTGATGAAATTGCACCTGTAGTTTATGAGGAGTAGTCCGGACAAGTTTTGTGACGGACTGACTGACGGACGGACAGACAGACAACAGAGAAGTGATCCCTATATGTCGCCACTACTCAGTAGAGGGGACACAAAAATACTTCGGCTTAATGACTTTCTATCATGCTGTAGTAAAGTGTGGCATAAAATGAGCCAAGATATACTAGTACCTGGGACTTAAAATTAATATTGTTAGTTGCAGAGGAAACTCACTTCAGAACTCACGTTATTAAAGTGACCTCCAAGTCAGCCCTCAAATATTATAGAAATTCAGTCACCGGCTTGGGTATGTTAATGACAGAGTTGTTATTATAATGCTAGGCCCTTAGTGTTGAGTGTAATTTCATAAATAATTGACCTTGCCTTCCAGTGAGCCCAAACACTGAACAGTCTTCAGTCTGTGGCGAAAGCCTGTTAAATATTTGTGTGCTGACTGACCTATTACCATAATACTTGAAGGTCCTGAATACTGTGAAATATTTCTTTTAAAACAGTAACTAATAAATTAACAGTATAATATATAATAACTTACAACTGATAATATGGCTACACCGCTGCCGATGTTCAGAATGAGAGGCACTGGACTGAATTTTCCCGCTCTGCCTTGTAATGTCAAGATAAACTTTATACCATAGGCTTTATATAAGGTTCTGGTTTCTATACCATTTTCATCCTTGTAATATTTTGCATACCTGAAATTAGATTAATTTACATAAAGATAGATTTAATCTGCATAACTAAAAATAGATTAAATTTGCATACCTAAAAATAGAATAATTTGCATACCTAAATATAGATGTGTGCTGGATTACAAAATTGTTTAAAAATCATAAACATTAACTTATATAACAACAAACATACTAGGCAAAGTATAAGTGTATTGACTTAAAGGAGCTCCATTAAGGTCCAAATGACTATTTAAATTAACCAATTCTTTGTTAACATGACAATTTTAATGATTATCATTTAACTTAACTCATTTTATTATTTGATATCATTTTTTTGTCCGATAAATTTGCAGTATTTCAAATAAATCGTCACACCATTACTTTAGTAAATGGCTAAAAAAGTCACTAACTTTCAATCATTTGGTAAATAACTTTAAATCAGTTTAAAATAGGCTTAAATTTGGCCCCATATGTATTAAGTAACCTTGACACCATCAACCTTAAATGACCTTGACACCATCATCGTTAAGTAACCTGGACACCATCAACCTTAAATGACCTTGACACCATCAACCTTAATTGACCTTGACAACATCAGCCTTAACTGACCATGACAACATCAACCTTAAGTGACCTTGACAACATTAGCCTTATTGACCATGACAACATCAACCTTAAGTGACCTTGACAACATCAACCTTAAGTGGCCTTGCAAAATCAACCTTAATTGACCTTGACACCATCAACCTTAATTGACCTTGACACCATCAGCCTTAATTGACGTTGATAACATCAACCTTAAGTGACCTTGACAACATCAACCTTAAGTGGCCTTGCAACATCAACCTTAAATAACCTTGACACCATCAACCGTAAGTGACCTTGACACCATCAACTGTAAGTGACCTTGACACCATCAACCGTAAGTGACCTTGACACCATCAACCATGAATAACCTTGCAACATCAACCTTTTGTGGCCTTAGTCCCATCAATCTTTAGCGACTCTGACACCATCAACATTAAATTTTGTTATTACTATATCTTTAATTAATCACAGAAAATATCACATGAACTTTTAATTTGATCCATAACTGAGGTAATCATGTATATGACGAGCAAGACATGGCCCGTCCTTTCACATTTACACCTTCCTGTGTGAAAATATCAATAATTAAAGAAAATGAATCAAGTAAGGTAACCTAAATATTGCAATTCAATATTTTAGGTAGTCTATAACTTCAAGACTAGTTTCGATGGAGGGAGACTTAACAAAATCTGTTATTATTACAGACTTGAAATTACAGGTGTCATGTGATATTGAGTGGTTGTTATCTTATATGGCTCTAACCACACAATCTTTAGCATGAGATATTCAATAGGATCTAATTAGGCCAACTCTCAACTGTATGATACATAACTTAACCTTATTAAACTCAACATTCATTTTATGATATACAACTTAATCTTATTTAAGCCATAAAAATGATAAAAGACAAACACACTGTCACCTCTGAGCACTATGCTCAGGGGAGATAAAACAAATTAAAGCCTTTGGACAGTAATTTTTACAGTCTCATGCTTATCTTATGTTGTAGCCTTTGGACAGTAATTTCTAATGTCACACTTACCTTTGAACAGTAATTTCTAATGTCACACTTACCTTTGAACAGTAATTTCTAATGTCACACTTACCTATGGACAGTTATTTCTAATGTCACACTTACCTTTGGACAGTAATTTTTAATGTCACACTTACCTTTGGACAGTTATTTCTAATGTCACACTTACCTTTGGGCAGTAATTTCTAATGTCACACTTACCTTTGAACAGTAATTTCTAATGTCACACTTACCTATGGACAGTTATTTCTAATGTCACACTTACCTTTGGACAGTAATTTTTAATGTCACACTTACCTTTGGACAGTTATTTCTAATGTCACACTTACCTTTGGACAGTAATTTCTAATGTCACACTTACCTTTGGACAGTAATTTCTAATGTCACACTTACCTTTGGACAGTAATTTCTAATGTCACACTTACCTTTGGACAGTAATTTCTAATGTCACACTTACCTTTGGACAGTAATTTCTAATGTCACACTTACCTTTGGACAGTAATTTCTAATGTCACACTTACCTTTGGACAGTTATTTCTAATGTCACACTTACCTTTGGACAGTTATTTCTAATGTACACACTTACCTTTGGACAGTTATTTCTAATGTCACACTTACCTTTGGACAGTTATTTCTAATGTCACACTTACCTTTGGACAGTTATTTCTAATGTCGCACTTACCTTTGGACAGTTATTTCTAATGTCACACTTACCTTTGGACAGTTATTTCTAATGTCACACTTACCTTTGGACAGTAATTTCTAATGTCACACTTACCTTTGGACAGTTATTTCTAATGTCACACTTACCTTTGAACAGTAATTTCTAATGTCACACTTACCTTTGGACAGTTATTTCTAATGTCACACTTACCTTTGGACAGTTATTTCTAATGTCACACTTACCTTTGGACAGTAATTTCTAATGTCACACTTACCTTTGGACAGTTATTTCTAATGTCACACTTACCTTTGAACAGTAATTTCTAATGTCACACTTACCTTTGGACAGTTATTTCTAATGTCACACTTACCTTTGAACAGTAATTTCTAATGTCACACTTACCTTTGGACAGTTATTTCTAATGTCACACTTACCTTTGGACAGTTATTTCTAATGTCACACTTACCTTTGGACAGTAATTTCTAATGTCACACTTACCTTTGGACAGTTATTTCTAATGTCACACTTACCTTTGAACAGTAATTTCTAATGTCACACTTACCTTTTAATTTCTAATGAACAGTAATTTCTAATGTCACACTTACCTTTGGACAGTTATTTCTAATGTCACACTTACCTTTGAACAGTAATTTCTAATGTCACACTTACCTTTGGACAGTTATTTCTAATGTCACACTTACCTTTGGACAGTTATTTCTAATGTCACACTTACCTTTGGACAGTTATTTCTAATGTCACACTTACCTTTGGACAGTTATTTCTAATGTCACACTTACCTTTGAACAGTAATTTCTAATGTCACACTTACCTTTGGACAGTTATTTCTAATGTCACACTTACCTTTGAACAGTAATTTCTAATGTCACACTTACCTTTGGACAGTTATTTCTAATGTCACACTTACCTTTGGACAGTAATTTCTAATGTCACACTTACCTTTGGACAGTTATTTCTAGTGTCACACTTACCTATGGACAGTTATTTCTAATGTCACACTTACCTTTGGACAGTAATTTTTAATGTCACACTTACCTTTGGACAGTTATTTCTAATGTCACACTTACCTTTGGGCAGTAATTTCTAATGTCACACTTACCTTTGAACAGTAATTTCTAATGTCACACTTACCTATGGACAGTTATTTCTAATGTCACACTTACCTTTGGACAGTAATTTTTAATGTCACACTTACCTTTGGACAGTTATTTCTAATGTCACACTTACCTATGGACAGTAATTTCTAATGTCACACTTACCTTTGGACAGTTATTTCTAATGTCACACTTACCTTTGGACAGTTATTTCTAATGTCACACTTACCTTTGGACAGTAATTTCTAATGTCACACTTACCTTTGGACAGTTATTTCTAATGTCACACTTACCTTTGAACAGTAATTTCTAATGTCACACTTACCTTTGGACAGTTATTTCTAATGTCACACTTACCTTTGGACAGTTATTTCTAATGTCACACTTACCTTTGGACAGTTATTTCTAATGTCACACTTACCTTTGGACAGTTATTTCTAATGTCACACTTACCTTTGGACAGTTATTTCTAATGTCGCACTTACCTTTGGACAGTTATTTCTAATGTCACACTTACCTTTGGACAGTTATTTCTAATGTCACACTTACCTTTGGACAGTAATTTCTAATGTCACACTTACCTTTGGACAGTTATTTCTAATGTCACACTTACCTTTGAACAGTAATTTCTAATGTCACACTTACCTTTGGACAGTTATTTCTAATGTCACACTTACCTTTGGACAGTTATTTCTAATGTCACACTTACCTTTGGACAGTAATTTCTAATGTCACACTTACCTTTGGACAGTTATTTCTAATGTCACACTTACCTTTGAACAGTAATTTCTAATGTCACACTTACCTTTGGACAGTTATTTCTAATGTCACACTTACCTTTGAACAGTAATTTCTAATGTCACACTTACCTTTGGACAGTTATTTCTAATGTCACACTTACCTTTGGACAGTTATTTCTAATGTCACACTTACCTTTGGACAGTAATTTCTAATGTCACACTTACCTTTGGACAGTTATTTCTAATGTCACACTTACCTTTGAACAGTAATTTCTAATGTCACACTTACCTTTGAACAGTAATTTCTAATGTCACACTTACCTTTGGACAGTTATTTCTAATGTCACACTTACCTTTGAACAGTAATTTCTAATGTCACACTTACCTTTGGACAGTTATTTCTAATGTCACACTTACCTTTGCGACAGTTATTTCTAATGTCACACTTACCTTTGGACAGTTATTTCTAATGTCACACTTACCTTTGGACAGTTATTTCTAATGTCACACTTACCTTTGAACAGTAAATTTCTAATGTCACACTTACCTTTGGACAGTTATTTCTAATGTCACACTTACCTTTGAACAGTAATTTCTAATGTCACACTTACCTTTGGACAGTTATTTCTAATGTCACACTTACCTTTGGACAGTTATTTCTAATGTCACACTTACCTTTGGACAGTTATTTCTAGTGTCACACTTACCTTTGGACAGTAATTTCTAATGTCACACTTACCTTTGGACAGTTATTTCTAATGTCACACTTACCTTTGAACAGTAATTTCTAATGTCACACTTACCTTTGGACAGTAATTTTTAATGTCACTCTTACACCTTTGGACAGTTATTCTTAATGGCACACTTACCTTTGGATAGTTATTTCTAGTGTCACACTTACTGGAAGTCTTAGCCTTTGGACAGTCATCTCTTTAAGTGTCACACTTACTTGAAATTTAAGCCTTTGGACAGAAATTTCTAAACAGTCACACTTACCGGAAGTTGTAGCCTTTTGACAGAATGTCTTGATCACTGTCCAATCTACGGAATGAATACTCTGGTATACAGTCTTCAACATTATAGTCTAAATTACAGTCCCAGTTGATTATTATCTGAACAACACCACCCTACAATATTGACAATATCAAAGTTATATTATAATAAGTTATAAATATTTTTGACAGGTTAATAACATTATCTTATAAACTGTTGTTTTCATATACCTTACTCTAATCTTTGTTTTTGAATTATATTGCAAATAACTTTATTTATGGCCATAAAACCTGTCAAGAATATTTATCATGAATTTATAATATAGAAACTTCCTTATTAGAGAGAAAAAATAAATTTTCTTAATATTTAATTAACAAAGTCGTATATATTAAGTTAAGAATATCCAGTAAAAAACTATGTTACAAATGTGTAGTACATTTGTTTTACAAATTTAAATAAAATGGTTATATTTTCATCATAATAATTATTATAACCCAATAACTCAATGACTCTATGCAGATACTTAAGGTATCTCTTGACTACCTTAAGACTTAGTATCTGCAAAGAGTCCTTTTTTTTACAATTTTCTTAGTTTGGAAACAAGTGACCCAGAGGACACTGAACAAAAAAACAATAAAATCTATACATTCTAAAATATCATAAACAAGAGCCGGTTGAACTGGGTGATGCTCCCCGACTAGGTTTTGGACACTGAAAGTATATCTTTTGTAGTTTCAGAGCTATGTCCCAGACAAAGTTCAATTTAGTGTGATAAATCCAAACTTAGGCAGGGCAGAGTTACTTTTCTGCACTTCTACTCAATGAGGTCTATCTACCGACTTGCACGTGACACACCATCTCAATATGGTGATCAAGTTATGGGCCGGACACGATTTTGCTGCCAGGTCAAGCTGTGACCTTGACCTTTCAGGTAGCAACCCAAATGTTGAGCGTGACACCTCGTCTAAATATGGTGATCATTTCTGTGAAATAGTTGTAAAATCCAACTTCAAGTAACAAAGTGATGGACCGGACACGATTTTGCTGCAAGGTCATGCTGTGACCTTGACCTTCAAGGTAGCTACCCAAATGTTGCGCGTGACATGTTGTCTGAATATGATGATCATTTCTGTGAAATAGTTGTAAAATCTGACTTCAAATAACGAAGTTATGGGCAGGACACGAATTTGGGATGTAGGGACAGACTGACAACCCAGTGACTATACGCTCCCCCCAAATTTTTTTCGGGGGCATAATAAATAATTTCATTGTCAGCATTTAGTTCATCTACAAATACTTGAATTAAGACAAAAATGCTGACTGATAATTAGTAAAGTTTTTTCACAGGAATTTCATGCTGATATTATATTTAACATGTTGCCAATATAAACAGTCATGCTTATGTGTTTTATGGTTTAAAAAGCAGTAAAAGGTTATATATTTATTACAAGAGTATAATACTGGTTTCAAACAATATATTCAAAAGTATTTCATGCTTGTGTGTACATAATTATTCCCAGTTTAGCAGTATTTCATGTTTGAACTGTATTTCATACTTTTTGTCCATTTTTGTATTCTTTGTATAACAGCATAACCAAATCATATGTATTTCACTTTTAACAGTATTTTATACACTAGTGCCTTTTTGTACTCTATTATAACAGCATAACAATAATGCATGTATATGTATTTCAATTTTAACCATATTTCATACTTTTTTTTCCTAAATATAACAGTATAACCAAATCATATGTATGTATTTCAATTTTAGCAGTATTTCATACTGTTGGTGCATTTTTGTTTTCTAAATTTAACAATATAACAATAATATATGCATTTCAATTTTAACTGTATTTCATACATTTAGTGCATTTTAACAGTACAAGAAGTATTTCATCCTAATGTATTAATTCTTTTTTCAACAGCAATACCTATTATTTTTATTCCCATTTTAACTGTATTTTATGTTTGTACGAATTTTCATTTTAACAGCAATACACGAGTTTATATGTTTATTACTTGTTTTTCCCTATTAACAGTACAGAATGTATTTCATGCCTGTATAAATTCTTATTTCAACAGCAATACAGGAATAGTTATTTCTTTTTCCATTTTAACAGTATTGTAATTAATATTACATTTATGCTTGTATGAATTTTCATTTTAACAGAAATACAAGAGTTTATAATTGTTTATAATATTGACGTAATCCTCTCTTAACAGTATAATTCATGCTTGTGCAATTATATTTCATTTTTAACAGCAATACAGGTCTATACATACATGACTCAGGCTGCTCCGTGATTGTAAGCTCACTAAGTCTTTACATTAAATTTTCATCTTGATATCCCCAAACATGATAATGGAACAGTCCCAAATATGGAAGCTGAACAAGTCCATTTACAAAATTTAGCAGATGAAGGGGTTAAACAAAATTAGAGTATGCAAACATGAGTGCAGAAATGCAGGTCATTTAGCAGACAAATCAGATCACTGAGACACCTTCACCGCCTAGTTGATTCATTAACTCCAGTAATCTTATATCGTATGCTTCATATTACTTGGAAACTAAAACTGTTGCTTTTTTCTTCTATAATTTCACTGACGCAACTATCACAATCCTAAAATTTGCATCTAATAACAACAATATATTCGATTCAGGTATAGTATTTCTATATAACAACAATTTTCTATTTGGCCTTTGTTTGTTTGGTGGTTTTTAGAACACAATTAGCCGATTTAAAATAGGGTATGTCTTGATCAGCCAAAGTTCCTAAACATATGAAAGATAAAAAGATAATTTAATTCAGTTATTCTAATTTTTGACAAATTTTAACACTTTATTTTATTTGTATCTCTATGGTAAGTCTTCTTGACAGGGTTTACATTTTTATGTTAGACAACAGAAGTGCCAACAAAAACAATCAATTTGGACAATGGTCAATGGGGAAATTTTAATCTACACTGAGGCTGAAAATACAATCGATTTCAACAGCATTTCAAGCAATGATACGGATCAACAATCTGTTAATAATTGAAAACCCTGCTTGACCAGCTATCCAGGTTAACTTACCAGTAATAAGTACTAATAACAAATTTCTCTGCAAATGAACTAAGTTAACTACTTTTTACATGATTTTTCAATCAACAGTGAGAGACAAATGACCATAATTATTAGATTCAATTGTCCGAGTTCACGATTGTCATGGAAGAAAGTTTCACCTCGCTCAAGGATCAAAACTACAATCCCTGCATTACAAAACAAAGCTTCTCCATAGAACTAAGTTCAGGCAAACCAATCCTTTCATCCAGGACTAATATTTTCTATTTCCAATTGAATTTTAAACATTTCAATAAAACATTTAAATATTAAACCACCTTGAAACTTATTGCTGGCTTTAATCTATCAATTCATAAAAGATAAATTAATCACAAAGTTAGTACAAAAAGTGACAGACAATCCCAAAGAATAAACAGCAATTAATGTAAGGATGGTGGCCGTATTTCCTCATATAATAAAAACATTTTATATTTCTTAAAAGCATTATTGCTTATTTAATAAAGTTTTCCTTTCATATTAATTTCATTTATTAACCAGTCATATAGTTTTGTGATTAAGCGCTGCCACGAAATTTTAAATAACATTTAAAATAGACAAACCAGTCATGATTTATATTACAACCCAACCTTAAGTGTTTATTCATATTAATAAAAAGAATTTCCTTTAATTTAAATATTCTGACCTTTTGCTGGTTACGCTCTTTATGATTAAATGAACAAGACGTTGGAATTTTTATGTTTAAAAATAGACTCTTCAAGAAGTTATAACAAATGAAGTATCTAAAAATAAGAAGTAACAAGAGCCACCGCCGGGCGGGGGCAACGCTCGACTTTTTCTTAAAGCAAACAAAGAAAGGTTTGAACAAATCTTAACGTTTCCTTTTTATAAATTTAATCGGTCTGTCTTGTCACATTAGTTTTGTCTCTATATTTTGTATAATATATAAATATACTCATATACCGTATATATATAATTATAGAAACACGCAATTCTATAAATTGAAAAAACGCAATTCTATAAATAGAAACACGCAATTCTAAAAATAGAAACACGCAATTCTATTAATAGAAACTCGCAATTCTACGCCGCTGTCGAGCTAATAAAAATATTTATATAAGAAGGATCACAAACATGTGATTAATTAAAGCCTGTTTTTTTTAGTTACATACAAAATGTAATGTTATTTTAAGGTATAAATGCCATGGTCTTAAATATAAAGCCAGATGCCTCCACCTGGTAGAATGAAAAAAAAGAAAAGAAAAAAAAAGGTTTTAATAGTACAACATGCTTTTTTGCATAACCTACAGCCTTACTTAAACAGTCACTGATTTTTATTTTGTTCAACATGGCTTTGTGTCACAACAATGATGTGAAAAAACGTGGGATCCGTTAGTCACCTGGGATTCTAGATCATTTAATTCAATTACTTAATTGGTAGGCTGGTAAATAAATCCAATCATATTCTAAACTTGAGTTTAAATCAATAAACTTGTCTATATATATATATATGATGTACAGTATTAATAAATTATAACTTTTTATTGCCACAAATTACCACAAAATTAATATCAAAACCAAAGCAGTTTATTCTTTTTCCTATTTTTTTTTTGAAACATTACTTTTGATCCTGTACACCTAGGATCTGAGGAATTCTGAGAATTATTCCTCTACCATCACTCTGTACTACGAGTATATCCTTGATAAAAGACTTCTGTTATTTAATAAAAGAAGGTATATGATTGACCTGAAAACTGATAAGCAGACTATCTGAATTCCAGGCAAAATTTACAAGATATGAACGTTTTAAAGCAACATTTTGATTTATTTCAACTACATACTCTTGAAGAGAGCTTTTGATATATTTGTACTGTAGTAGAATTTGTTATCTGTTCTGGAGACACGTACATGCTGCTTTAATATGCAAGTAAGTAATACTTTCATTTTTTGTGAACAATTTTCCCCTTTCATTTTCTTCTTCTTGTAACTTATAAAGATCAAATGCTATGACAAAACCAACATAATGAGTTTGCAACCAGCATGGATCCAGACCGCGCAGTCTGATCAGGATCCATGCTGTTCACTATCAGTTTCTCTACTTGTTATACAGTTTGTAAGCCCTGATCAGACTGCACGGATGCGCAGGCTGGTCTGGATCCATGCTGGTCACAAACTCATTACGGCTCAAATAACATATTAAATTATTTAACCTTTACCAAATAACCATGACTCGAGGGACAAAAACGAGTAGCCATATACCTTTGTACAAGGATATTTATTACAGGCTCAGGCCTGACACTATATCCTTGTGTAAGGCCTGACACTATATCCTTGTGTAAGGCCTGACACTATATCCTTGTGTAAGGCCTGACACTATATCCTTGTGTAAGGCCTGACACTATATCCTTGTGTAAGGCCTGACACTATATCCTTGTGTAAGGCCTGACACTATATCCTTGTGTCTAGCCTGACACTATATCCTTGTGTCTAGCCTGACACTATATCCTTGTGTCTAGCCTGACACTATATCCTTGTGTCTAGCCTGACACTATATCCTTGTGTCTGGCCTGACACTATATCCTTGTGTCTGGCCTGACACTATATCCTTGTGTCAGGCCTGAGCCTGTACTAATTATCTAAACAGACTCTCTCCGGGCTCTATCATAACTTTTGGCTGACAAACTTTGAATATTCACCTTGATATCCCTAAAATTGATAATGCACTTTTCAAAAAATACTGAAGTTAAATGAATCCATCTAACAAATTCAATAGCTTAAGGGGTTGATTTAAATAAAAGTGTTCCTAACAATCTATTGATATTCAGCTGCAGAGCCCTGAATTATGAATATGTTTTCATGCATATCAGACTGGATCGTTTCTGCTAGTCTTACCCATGCAAGAAATCAGAAATTTCATTTGACAATGAGGGGCGGTGGGGGTGGTGGTGGTGGGGGCATCATTTTAGTGATTTATAAACAAATTGGGTTAAAATTATGTCATTTCAGTGCATTTTAGAACAAAAATTATTTGCCTTGGAAGGTTCAATTTCCCCCTATCATGAATTGATTAATGTAAAAAAAAATAGTAAGAGGTTCAGATTGGAATATCAATCACTTGGGCACCTGCCCATGGGTGGCAACTCGGTAAACCTCTTAAATTCTGCCCAATGGGCGAGTTCCCTTAATACAATACGCATTAGAAAACTAGAAGTATTTCCCCATAAGAAGCTCATTTTATAAATTACAATTTTTACATTTACAATTTCTAGGAAACAGGAATACAGACTGAAGAAAATTAGCTTATTAATGGCAGAGTTAATATCCAATTAACTTTTAAATGAAATCCAGTACTAATATTAAAATGTCAACTTCGTTAATATAATGTATAAGTATAGCAAATAACAAATTTTAAGGGAATTTTAACCAGCAAGCTATTTTAATAAGATTTGTGATTCTGTAAAGCTCTGATATAACCATGTAATTGTTTTAAATATTAAAATGCTTTTTTGATTTAAAAGTCTAGGTTTAAAGTTAATAATATAATATAGCAACAGATGTGCCTTTTATTAAAAGGCATTTGTGCAATATTAAAACATTATCTATCATGTACTAAAGTCACGACAATATACTTTTACAGGTCATACTTGGAGACCTTCAAGTTTCTTAAAGTAAGATTATACTGGTAGGTAAGGTTTATAGATGTTATTAAATGAGCAGCGTCATGACAAAACCAACATAGTGCGCATCCTCACAGTCTGATCAGGATCCATGCTGTTGGCTATCAGTTTCTCTAGTTGTAAAAGAGTTTGTAAGTGAACAGCATGGATCCTGATCAGACTGCAAGGATGGGCAGGCTGTGTGGATGCGCAGGCTGGTTTGGATCCATGCTGGTCACAAACGCACTATGTTGGTTTTGTCATGACGCGACTCAAATTATTGTACTTTAATGGTGGATATTGAAATGAAAAGTGTTGACTACTGTTGCACTATTTGGGGAAACTGCAGTAGTGAATTACTTTCGCAAATTGTCAACTTTCAAAAAAGAGCTGCAAGAATTATTTTAGACAAAAGTTTTGATACCCCATCAAATATTCTATTTAAAGAATTAAATTGGATGTCCTTTTTGATCAAAGAATTATGTACAAAAGGCAATCCTCATGTTGTATAAATCTATAAATGAACCATCCTTTCCTATTTATATGAAAAATAAATTCCAAACAATAAATGACAAACATGACTTTAACTTAAGATCTATACAAAATGAAAAACTAACTGTACCCAAACCAAAAACAGAATTTTTTAGAAAATCATTTAATTACTCTGTCTGTGGTATGGAACAGCATACCAATCCATATTCGAAATTCTGATTACCCTGAGGAAATTTCAATCCTCCTATATCCAGTGGCAATTTTCTAACTAAAGTGTTTGTAAATATTGTTTCAAAAACATATACTTTCCATGCTGGAAGTTATGAAAATGTCACTTCTCTATGTAAGAAGAAAAAATTGTTACTTATTTTATTGTATTGATATGATGTATAATGTACATATTTATGTTGTCTAAATGTTGATTGTGATTGTATTTTATGTTGTTTTGTATATACTGAGGCCCGCATGGAAGATCGGGAAACTGAATGTGTTAGCCTCATAAAATAAAGTCGTTACTTACTTACTTACTTACTTACTTACTTACTAAAAGTTTTTTTCAAATGTTCATATAATATGGTTTTTAATGTTAATGAGTATTCAAATGATTTGAGCAGAAAAGTTGGCAGTTGACTTCAACTTGCTTCAACACAGTGTTCAAAAATATTTAAGTAATACACAAAGCCTATGTACAATTGTTACATTGTAGGTTACTGTACTGTACGGCTTACCTATAAGCAATTGTCTTGATTGATTCATGTAATTCCATATTATCAGAAAGATTATATGTTAATGATCATCATAAATTAAGTCTACAATCAATTTAAACAAATGTTTAAGACACACACTTCAAGAGGCCAGCACTTGGAGAAAAAACAACAAGTTGACTTTATCAGTACTTCGTTAATTCCACCCTCCTTTAAGTCTTGAACTGACCTTTCCTGTGACCGTCTACCTAAACATCATTATTACAAGGTCTTTCACACTCACGCTAAGATTTTATCCAGAACTCAGCAAATGAGGGTTTTTCCCAGATAATCAGTAGGTACAAACAACATTTTACCTTTACAGCTTCCTCGGTGATTTTCCCTTCACAATAGATTAGTCAGCCTGTGCACTTATTTTGGAAGCTGTAACTGTGAAACTTTGTTTGTACATACGGATAAGCTATGTTCTTATTTTGGGAGATAGTATATTTCAAGAGAATAATGTAAAATCCAAACATTGAGCAGACGGCATTTTAGCAGACGAAAAATTTTCCCATCATGCAAAAGTTTATCATGCATGGCTGTTTTAAGATGCTAAAGAGTTACCTTCTTAGCTAACTCTGAGAACTGAACTCCTGCATATTCTGTGAGGTCTTTCAGAACAAAAATTGGACAGAAGACATATTTTGCATGGTCCTTTGTAAATCGGCAATTTTTCAACTCATTGTCATCGTTATAACCCAGTATATTTCTCCTGAAATATACAAAATTTCAGGAATTGCATAACAAAAACCAGAACTAAATGAAGACTATAAAATGAGATTCTCAGCTGTCCATTAAAGCTGCACACTGTTTCACTTTTCTCCATTGCTGGATAGTAGGATAAAAGCATAAAGCAGTAATAGGTGGGTGGGGGGAATATTTCTGCAAAACTTTGCATCAGAATTATCTGCCCTTGATAGTGAACAAATATTTCAAGTTTGTAGTTCTGTGATTGTTTTGTCCAAAATATTAGGAAAATATAAAAAAAGAAACATAATTAACAAAAACTACTTTTAGAGTTCTCTGCCCTTTAGAAATGCATTCCAAATTTAAAAGTTATTGAGAATATTCCAAGTTTAAAGTGAATATCTTTGATACGTTTTCTTTTCATAAAATTTTCTTTGGTACAAAATGGCTGTAATTAAGTAGAAATCCATACCAGAGTTATTGACCTTGGACAGTGACCTCCTCTTATAATCCCAAATAGATCATGTATAAAGTTTCAAGCGAAAACCTGTAGTAGTTTTGAAGACCAATGTTGCATACAAAACTTTAATCAAGAAATTAAAAGTTCTCATAAAGCCATGCAGGAAATTGACCTTATGATCTCAAACAATGTATAAATGTGCTAAATGACAGGCAAATAACTCTATTGGTCCATGAATGATGTTGTACAAGAAGACATTAAACTTTACTCAAAGTGTTAAACTACCCGGATGCCAACATCCAGGACATGTATTTAGGTTAGTTTATTCAGAAATTAATTCAGATTGATAGTGTAGAAAAGCTACATGCTTAGAGACACACTCTTGAATGATCTGTTCCTGGAACCAACAAGTATTTAGCAATGAGTGTAGAATTTCTTGTTTCAGGAAACCACAGTCTGCACCTGAGGGGGTTCTAACTAAAGCCACTAGAGATCCTTAGATTACCAGTCAAACAGCCATTCTTTAAGATATTACCAGTCAAACAAGTTATTACCAATCAGCCATGCCAGCACTTTTAAGTTTCAAGTGAATATCTTCAGTTGAGTAGAATAACCTATTATTATTGAATAGTCTAAGCTAAAAAACTTCACCATAAAGGTTAACCAACATCAATGCTGCAGCTTCAATTTATATATTAATCAACTTTCACTGCTGCTGCCAATAAGATTCAATTTATATGCTAATGAGCTTTCTCAATTTAGCTTTGCCACCAGGATTACCTTGAAACTTGAAGTTTTGACACCAATAGAATTTGATCAGCCTGAGGAATACAAGAAGTGCAGATCTTCTTACTGTCTGGAGGTATTCCTTAATATTATACCTAGTTCTTCATCCCAGAATTTGTATGAATGTATATATCAAAGTAAATTAATAATCTGTTCGGGTTATTTGTCTAGTGTAGGCCATGACAATCCTTGTTATTTAAAACTGTTATAATAAGTACAGTTATCTACTAGGAACAGGTCACAATTTGTGTACTTTAATACAGGAATAATTATTAACCTTCAACTGTGAACTGATTTTGCCTGTAAACTGTTCACCACTTCATTTAGCCTGCTTAGCTCAACAGTGAGAGCATCAGCTTAGTAATCCACATGTCCCTGGTATGATCCTTAGGCCATGCGACTACAGATCTCAGACATTGAGTTAAATGGTCATTAATGAGCAGCGTCATGACAAACCAACATAATGGGTTTGCGACCAGCATGGATCCAAACCAGCCTGCGCATCCTCGCAGTCTGATCAGGATCCATGATGTTCGCTTACCAACCATATCACAAGTAGAGAAACTGATAACGAACAGCATGGATCCTGATCAGACTGCGCGGATGATTAGGTAGTCATTTTGTCTAAAAATTTGTAATAACTGGCTAGTTCTCCAGGAAATAAGGTTAGGTGGATTGGCCACTGGGATATGGCCAAAAATTGTGTTAAAATCCACATGAAAAATCAGAAAAACAAACAAACGATCAACAAGAAACAAACTAAAGTTCCACTTCCTAACACCAATATAGTATTACAGACTCACCAATATATTATGGACTGAAAAAAAGTTTTCTGCTTGGTTAATGTTCCTCATTATTGCCATCAGCTTTAATTAATTGGCTAGTTTAGCCTGATCAATGATTCATGTTTACATTTCCCATTTAATTTTTTTTTCAACAAAGTCTGGTGATTTTCTATGTAGTTCAATGGTTTTCTTAATAATTCAATGATCTTGTCAATATTTTACAGATTTCCTCAATTATCACCAATGTTCTCAATTATTAATTTTCTCAATTATTCATTGATTTTCTCAATTATTCATTAATTTTCTCAATTATTCATTTATTTTCTCAATTATTCATTTATTTTCTCAATCATTCATAAAATTTATTTTCTCAATTATTCATTTATTTTCTCAACTATTCATTTATTTTCTCAATTATTCATTTATTTTCTCAATTATTTATTGATTTTCTCAATTATTCATTGATTTTCTCAATTATTCATTGATTTTCTCAATTATTCATTTATTTTCTTAATAATTCAGAGATTTTGTCAATAATTCACAGATTTTCTCAATTATTCACTAAAAGGAACATCAGTCTATCAAATCCAAAAGCATATCCTTATTTCCTGAATCCTCATTCATAACTGTATTAACCTTGAAACAAGCTTTTTTACTTCTCTAAATCACAATGCTCTCACAAATAGCTACAGATTAAGGTGAAAGTAGTTTCAATTTATACTCAAGTGAACTGTACAAGGGTCATAATGGCACTCTTGTAATTTAAAAAAAAAATCAAGTAGTTTCTTGAATATTACTTAATCTACAGAAGCTGTCACATGGACAGCATTCTCAACCATTCTCAGTGTTAACCCTTTACCTCATATATACGCGAAACAACGCACTTTTGACCCCCACCCCTCTATTGGGCCTCAAATAGTGAAAAAATGTCCTATTTGGGCCCCAAACACATGTTTTCGTTTGAGAAATGTTGCTAAAAAAAGTGAGAACTTTTTCGGCGCCGCCCCCCATCCAAAAGATACATCAGGGGGTTGCCAGAAGGGGCAGTCCCCCTCATCGCCAAGAAAATTTTGGACTTGTGAGAGGCTAAAAATGACCCCAAGTTGATCCTAGGGTAACCTGTAACCAACGCTGAAAAGCCTTTGACTCTATCTCAATCCCTTGAGATGTTGCAGCACTTTGAATCAAATTTTAATGGAAAAAATCAAGGCAAAATAGTGATTTTCGGCAATTTTGAGATGTCCCCTCATTGCCATGGTAACAGGAAATTTAAGACTGAGCATGTGGTTACAAAGGCAATGGTCCAGTCAACATTTGTGCCAAGTTTGATTAGTATTGAAGCATTTTTCATAGTTTCATAGTTACTTGTAACAGTAGGCTTTTCAATGAAAACGGCCATTTTTCACAATATGCTCATGAGGGAAAGGGTTAAAGAGTAAATAATATAGAATTTTAAAGTTTTCAATAAGGGCCATAATTCTGTCAAAATCAATGACAGAGCTATGGGTCTTGAATAATGTTATTTATTAACATTAATTTAATATTATTATTATGCTTCAAATAAGTTTCAAGCCATTCCCTCCAGTAGATGAGGAGATACTTACTTGGCCAAACAACTTAACCGATGTGTGACAACATCTCCTGTGTGAATACAATAGCTATCACTATTCTTCGAACAGTCAAGCTAAAAAATCTTTTACATTTTAGTGCTATAGTAATACAAGTATTTTCCTTGATATTTGTAACAGAATTTGACAAACTACTTATATCTGCTGCTAATAACGCTTTTTTCTTATCTATATCTTATCTTTTTTCTTATATATATTAATATATTGAATTCTGACCACAACAATGGCTGCCAATTATGACAAGGAAGGCAAATATTGTAAAAATCTGAACTATCAATTATGAAGCTAAGCACTTTACGCTAATAGTACACAGAGCCTCCAGAATGTTAATAACCTCTAAATGAATAAACCTGAATATAAAATGAAAAACCAGTACTATATTGTATTAAAAAGTAGGTATAAATGAACTAAATGCCTGGCAATTTAGATTCTGATAACAATTTTTTAGTTCCTGGAGATAAATAAAATTGATTGGTAATAAAAGTTGTGTTTTTTTTCTCCCACACAGAGTCTCAGGACATTAACACAAGTAATTAGTTGAAAAAAAAGAAGAAAAGATTGATAGATTAAACTTATTTCAAAACAAGGTAGTTATTACAGAATAAATGTATTATATATGTCCACGTTCATCATATACCTTCAATGCAATGGACTTGAAATCAGGTGTACCAGTATTGAAAACTATTGTGTCAAGACGAAAGATGGGACAAAGGTTGTTGCCATTAAAATCAAATCTGCAGCTTTTAAGATATGTTTCATTGTTCACACTCTTTGGAATATTCCTCCTAGAAAAGTACAAATATATCATATCACATATTACAACAAGAGCTGTTGCTAGGACAATGTGCTCGACTATTCCTAGAGCTTTATAGTAAAACAAGAGCCTCGATAATGTAGAAATATCTAAGTTCAAAAAGGGCCATAATTCTGTCAAAATTTATGTTAGAAATATGGGCCTTTGATAGTGACATCTTATAATGCTCTCAAATAAGTGTGTGTAGTCTCAACTCATGTCCTTCAGTAGTTTTGGAGATACCAACTTGCACCCAAAAACTTATCCAAAGTGTGAGTGAGTACAATAACTCTCCCTATTCTTTGAATAGTTAAGCTAAAAATTGAGATCTTAAAGGAACTCCAATGATGTCCAATGTCCTACAAACATAAAATTTGAGTTTCTTACATATATACAAGGGGCACATTTTAATAAGTGGCAACAGCAGAGAATTTTATAAATAAGTAATATGTGTGAAAAATATTTAGTAGAGTCCCTGGACCCCTACACACTTTTCCTGTCTCGGAATCCATTTCGAAAAAAGCATTTTTGCACTGTTCTTTGGGTATAATGTTTATACACTTATACAGCAAATCCGATGGCGCTACAGGTTTCGAACCGGCAAACACGAGGGCAAGATTTAATACATGGATTGAACTCAAAGTCACAATGAGAGAGGTCAGGACTATAAGCGAAATGTTGCCAAACCACAATTCTCTGCTTCTCTAATTAAACTTGAACCAAGGCTGACCAGGGCCCAGGTGCAATACCATGGACTAACTTGATCCTGTGCAGGCCCGACCTTGGGTTCTTTGTAATGTAGTGATTAAACACAGCAGTGAGAACATGGTCACAGTAAAATGCTCCATTGACACTACCCAGCACAGGCACAGCGACATGGGCCACTATTCCATCACTGTCAAAAATAGAGTGTATATAACTCTTTTAACGCATCAGCTATAAAATACAATAACTGGGCAATTGCTGTTTTCACCTAACCACATTTTGTTACCGAGTTTATTATCAGGCTCAAAAAAATAAAGCCAGGTTTCATCCCCTGTGACAATTTCTCTCAGGTGTCTAGGGTCTCGATCTTTGCGCCTACTCAATAAGGCTGAGGCTTTTTCAACCTGCTCCCTTTTCTGGTCAGAAGTAAGCAAATGCAGGATCCAAAGGGTGCACACTTTCCTTAACTTATAACTTTTCTTTCAAGATAGAAAAGATATAATTACGACTCACTAAGGCCCAATATGTCGCTTATCTCCTCCATGGAATATCTACATTCACCTGGCAATTGTTGGATAAGGAAGGACATTTTCTCCATAAGCTAAATCCAGATATGTTTTCATTTCTGACGCGCATTTACTCAATAACCCTCTCTCAATTCACGATGCAACTCAGCCATGTTTACAACCAGTATATAAAGCCACATGTATTTAAATGACCTGCTAAAATTTTATTGCAAGTGCAAATCGTGCAAAAATAGACTGTTGGTTAGAAAACTCAATGATCTTTTCAATGGTATATTATGCCAAAATAATTGTTAAATTTAATTGTTGCCACTAATTAAAATATGCCCCTCCTAGATATAAGAAAGATAGTAAAGAATGTTACAAATATTTTCTCAGAATTAAATGCGTGAGACTAAAAAAAGGATTGGAGCACCACACTAAATACTGTATTCCTGTATATACCGGGCATGGCGCTTGAATCATAAAATGCTAAAATCTTGCCTTTTTACCCAACGGAATCAACTTAAATAGGTCTAATTCATCTTTTCACACCGATTAATGTATGAAAATAAATGAAAAATGTAAAAAATCGGCAAAAAAAACCACATGATTTCTGCAAGCGTCTAGAGGTACTGCTCCAATCCTGTTTTTAGTTAAATCCAAATTAAATATGTTGTTCGGATGCAAAGCATTATAGCAGTCAGGCTATGTCCTCATCAGAACTGCATACAGTGAATTTATTTAGCGATAAAATCACTGAACTTGGGATTTCTTACATGACAATTGATTATATTATTTCTTATTATAAATAAATGACCATTTCTAGAATGATTTTAATTAAATTAATAATGACCATTACCAAAGTGATACAATTGATTATTATAATTAGCAAATAGTTGGCCATAACTAATTACATCAATGTTTATTATTACTTCACAAACTGTAATAAAATCATGTGCTATAACTTGACTGACTGTTATAAAATCAAGGGTCATAACTTGACTCACTGTAATAAAATCATGGGCTATAACCTGACTGACTGTTATAAAATCAAGGGTCATAACTTGACTCACTGTAATAAAATCATGGGCTATAACCTGACTGACTGTTATAAAATCAAGGGTCATAACTTGACTCACTGTAATAAAATCATGGGCTATAACCTGACTGACTGTTATAAAATCAAGGGTCATAACTTGACTCACTGTAATAAAATCATGGGCTATAACCTGACTGACTGTTATAAAATCAAGGGTCATAACTTGACTCACTGTAATAAAATCATGGGCTATAACCTGACTGACTGTTATAAAATCAAGGGTCATAACTTGACTCACTGTTATAAAATTATAGGCTATAACCTGACTGACTGTTATAAAATCAAGGTCATAACTTGACTGACTGTAATAAAATCATGGGCTATAACCTGACTGACTGTTATAAAATCAAGGGTCATAACTTGACTGACTGTAATAAAATCATGGGCTATAACCTGACTGACTGTTATAAAATCAAGGGTCATAACTTGACTGGCTGTAATAAAATCATGGGCTATAACTTGACTCACTGTAATAAAATTATAGGCTATAACCTGACTGACTGTTATAAAATCAAGGGTCATAACTTGACTGACTGTGTAATAAAATCATGGGCTATAACCTGACTGACTGTTATAAAATCAAGGGTCATAACTTGACTCACTGTAATAAAATCATGGGCTATAACCTGACTGACTGTTATAAAATCAAGGGTCATAACTTGACTGACTGTAATAAAATCAAGGGTCATAACTTGACTCACTGTAATAAAATCATGGGCTATAACCTGACTGACTGTTATAAAATCAAGGGTCATAACTTGACTGACTGTAATAAAATCATGGGCTATAACCTGACTGACTGTTATAAAATCAAGGGTCATAACTTGACTGACTGTAATAAAATCAAGGGTCATAACTTGACTCACTGTAATAAAATCATGGGCTATAACCTACTGACTGTTTAAAATCAAGGGTCTAACTTGACTGACTGAATAAATCTGACTGTTATAAAATCTAAGGACTGTCATAACTTGACTGACTGTAATAAAATCATGGCTATAACTGACTGACTGTTATAAAATCATCAAACTTGACTCACTGTAATAAAATCATGGGCTATAACCTGACTGACTGTTATAAAATCAAGGGTCATAACTTGACTGACTGTAATAAAATCATGGGCTATAACCTGACTGACTGTTATAAAATCAAGGGTCATAACTTGACTACTGTAATAAATCAAGGGTTATAAATCAAGGGTCATAACTTGACTGACTGTAATAAAATCATGGGCTATAACCTGACTGACTGTTATAAAATCAAGGGTCATAACTTGACTGACTGTAATAAAATCATGGGCTATAACTTGACTCACTGTAATAAAATTATAGGCTGTAACCTGACTGACTGTTATAAAAATCAAGGGTCATAACTTGACTGACTGTAATAAAATCATGGGCTATAACCTGACTGACTGTTATAAAAATCAAGGGTCATAACTTGACTCACTGTAATAAAATCATGGGCTATAACCTGACTGACTGTTATAAAAATCAAGGGTCATAACTTAACTCACTGTAATAAAATTATAGGCTATAACCTGACTGACTGTTATAAAATCAAGGGTCATAACTTGACTGACTGTAATAAAATCATGGGCTATAACCTGACTGACTGTTATAAAATCAAGGGTCATAACTTGACTGACTGTAATAAAATCATGGGCTATAACTTGACTCACTGTAATAAAATTATAGGCTATAACCTGACTGACTGTTATAAAATCAAGGGTCATAACTTGACTGACTGTAATAAAATCATGGGCTATAACCTGACTGACTGTTATAAAATCAAGGGTCATAACTTGACTCACTGTAATAAAATCATGGGCTATAACCTGACTGACTGTTATAAAATCAAGGGTCATAACTTGACTCACTGTAATAAAATTATAGGCTATAACCTGACTGACTGTTATAAAATCAAGGGTCATAACTTGACTGACTGTAATAAAATCATGGGCTATAACCTGACTGACTGTTATAAAATCAAGGGTCATAACTTGACTCACTGTAATAAAATTATAGGCTATAACCTGACTGACTGTTATAAAATCAAGGGTCATAACTTGACTCACTGTAATAAAATTATAGGCTATAACCTGACTGACTGTTATAAAATCAAGGGTCATAACTTGACTGACTGTAATAAAATCATGGGCTATAACCTGACTGACTGTTATAAAATCAAGGGTCATAACTTGACTCACTGTAATAAAATCATGGGCTATAACCTGACTGACTGTTATAAAATCAAGGGTCATAACTTGACTCACTGTAATAAAATTATAGGCTATAACCTGACTGACTGTTATAAAATCAAGGGTCATAACTTGACTGACTGTAATAAAATCATGTGCTATAACTTGACTGACTGTTATAAAATCAAGGGTCATAACATGACTGACTGTTTTAAAATCAAGGAACTTGACTGACAGTTATAAAATCAAGGGTCATAACTTGACTGACTGTTATAAAATCAAGGGTCATAACTTGACTGAAGGGTCATAACTTGACTGACTGTAATAAAATCTAGGGCCCATTACTTAGCTGTCACTTCTGGTATTTTAGGTTAACATGAACTTTTTAAAATGATGACATTATTTTGACACTATGAATCTTCATGATAATATCATTGTATAATAAAGCAGTGTAAGACAAATGGTCAGGGACTATCTTGTTCATTTTTCCATACAGATTTCACAATTTGAGTACCTGAAATCTTGACACAGCATTGCTTTGTTTGTAATATATATTGTATATTATTGTAACATAAGGTAAGAAAGATATGAGGTCCATTAGTGCAAAAAAATGTGGCACCAGTGCAATAGTAGTGTAGTGGTGAGTACACTCAAGCATCCTGTAAAACTTGCTGAATATTCATGACCTTTATCTTGGGAAAGCTGTTAATTGAACCACATTCAGTTACATTCCATACATTCAATATATCTCAAAACAAGAAATAATCTCATACTCTATCAATACCCATCAAACCATACATTCATGTAATAAATTAGAAATAAGTTTATGTAATGAATTTATTCATTAAAATTAATATATAACTATAACAATTTATTGCAAACTTACCTCTTTACATTAAACTTTGGAAACTCGATGTTATTCTTAATGAAAACAGTAAAATTTTCTGCTATTCCCAATGCCGGAGGATTTGGTCTGTAAGATATAAAGAAATAATGTTTTGGATAATTATGTAATGAAAACACGTGTAATACACTTGTACCCAGCTAGCGTGCAGAATGACAAAAGTTATACAGTCATGCAGTGGTATGTTACTGATTTTCACTTTACATTTGTAAATAAGCACCTAGCACAAGTTTCAATTGTTGTTGTTTAAAAGCTTAAGTGAGATTACTTGGAAAATAAAATCATTCTTTGTTAAGCTTTCAAATTACTGTTAAGTACAACTGTTAATTTTAATCTAGTTACCAACAAAGATTTGATTTTCTAGGGTTATTATTCGAAGTAATAGCATTCTTGTTCATTTGAATAATATAATACTGGACATTTGTAAGGCTTATTTTCATTGGATAACCAAAAAACTGTAAATTTACTAATCATGTCCTTAATAAATGCAAGAAAATGTTCAGTATTACTTGTTTGTTATAAAGACATTTGATATAAAAATTATAATGTGGCCATGTATAAAAGGTTGAGTAATGAAGGATACAGTCCAACCTGTGTGAAAGGCCAAATCCATATAAAGATCATCCCGTCAATTAGACACTCGTCAATAACCCTTCATTGATTCAATTTAACAGAATTAATCCTCCATAAAGATAACATCTCTAATAAGGCCATGTGTGGTCCCTCCCTTGGATGGCCTTAGTTCACTAGTTTGAATGTACACCAACAGAAATTTGCCTCTTCAACAGTAGAAATAAGCACCCCCCACTCCCCCACCCCTGGCCTCCTACAACTCACACATCTGTATATCAAGTAGAACAAAGCATTCCTTGTATCCCCCTCTCCTTTTTGTAAAACTAATCAAAACTTGATTCCCTGGATTGTAATTATATACAACATATTATTGTTAAATACCATTCTGATAAAATGTCCAATCCCTAGCTTGAATTAAATACAACATATCACTGTTACAATATACTATAAACATGATACTCTATTTGTTTTAAGCATATGATTGATAATTAACAATCTATGTAAGTATTAATTTCAAATTTGTAATCAGCTTCGCATAATTTGATACAAATATGGCAATTATGCAACATGATTTTTGGCACATATTATTTTCATCATGTTTGTCCTTGAATGAAATTGATCTAAAATGAACACAAATTATATTCCTGAAGTAAGCCCAACCTTAAATTTAGCAAAGTTTCCCATTCCGCTATCTAGGCCAGTCACTGAGTAGGTATAGGTTGGTAGGTAAACACATTTTTAATCCCAAAAGATTTTGTTTTTGTTTAAAACATCAATAATTAAATACCCCTCAAAGAGTTCCATGGTTCATGCAATCATACCACTTACAGAGTTCCATTGATCCTGCCACTATACCCCTTACAGAGTTCCATGGTTCCTGCCACTATACCCCTTACAGAGTTCCATGGTTCCTGCCACTATACCCCTTACAGAGTTCAATGGATCCTGTCACTATATGCCTCACAGAGTTCCATGGTTCCTGCCACTATACCCCTTACAGAGTTCCATTGATCCTGCCACTATACCCCTTACAGAGTTCCATGGTTCCTGCCACTATACCCCTTACAGAGTTCCATGGATTCTGCCACTATACACCTTTCCGAGCTCCATTGTTCCTGCCAATATAACCCTTACAAAGTTCCATTGTTCCTGCCACTTTACACCTTACAGAGCCACTATACCCCTTACTGAGTTCCATTGATCTTGCCACCATACCCCTTACAGAGTTCCATGGTTCCTACCACTATACACCTTAGATAGTTCCATGGTTCCTGCCACTTTACCCCTTACAAAGTTCCATGGTTCCTGCCACTAAACCATTTACAGAGTTCCATGGTTCCTGCCACCATATCACTTTCATAGTTCAATGAAATCTGCCACTTTACCCCTTACAGAGTTCCATGGATCCTGCCATCATACCCCTAACAGAGTTCAATGGATCTGGCCACCATACCCCTTACAGAGTTCCATGGATCCTGCTACCATACCCCTAACAGAGTTCAATGGATACTGCCACCATACCCCTAACAGAGTTCAATGGATCCTGCCATCATACCCCTAACAGAGTTCAATGGATCCGACCACCATACCCCTTACAGAGGAAACAATCACTGAATCCATGCCTTTCAATTAAGGTAACATTAAAAACATTAATATAGGGCTTTATGAAAAAGAGATGAGCAAGCTTGAAAATCTTTTATATCATTTAACAATTTTCAACAACTTTCCATTCAAATGGTAAAATGTCTATAATTCAGCCTTTTTTAAGCACATTTTATCACTGTATACGACTTTTGACCTTTGTCTGGGAGTGGTCATGAGCACAAGTTAGACTGTATGTTTAAATTACAATATTATACCTCATTTGCATACGCCCTTCTATATTTAATATGACGTCACCCGGTCCATAAACCGCATACAGACCGGGGGCGGTCCATAATTCTTATATGGACTGGATGACGTCATATCAAATCTTAAAGTTCGTTTTCTGCCTGTTTAATTTGATTTTTAAAAATTGAATAACTAAAGAAGAGCATGATTTTTTTGCTGTATCGCTTTAAAATTATAATAATAATTCCCTCTAGGATTTGAAATATTTCACACACTGAACAAAAAAATTATTATTTGAAAGTAAATTATAGTAAAAATGTCAGCAACAAAAGGGATGAAATGATTTAGATTCGGTATAATATAACAAATAAAACATGGCCTTTCGGGCAAAATGCAAGTTAACGGACTGGTTGGTCATACCTCGGAAGGTATATGTCCCTCAGCTGCGCTTCGGCCATATACCTTCCTCAGTCTGACCAACCAGTCCGTAAACTTGCATATTGCCCTCAAGGCCATGTTTTATTTATTAAATTAAGTTGTGGGTTTTAATTTTCAACAAAAAAAAAAAAATATTCTTAAAACAATATTTTAGATAAAAAATTATATACTCACGCAGACCGTTTACCATCTTCTGTTGGACACCATGCTTGTACTTCGCATGATTTCATTCCAGGATCTCTACTAGAGTTGAGGCAAACCCCAGTCATGAAACCTGATATAAATATTGTAAAATGATGTACATTTTTTGTAATATCACAACAGAGAAAAGGCTTACAATGATGTACTTGAAATAAGCAACAACATTGTTATAGTAGTTGTGTTCAAGTACAAAGACAATTCTTTCATAAATTATAAGCAAAGTTATAGCCTATTGTATAAAAAATCAAGAAAAAATCAATACATTGTAATTTGACATTCAAGGTCAAAGCCATTGAGGATCTTGTCCAAAGGATTGTTGTGTCCATTCTAAGTATAATAGCAAAAATCAAGCAAAATTAAACCATTTGACCTTGAAGGTTAAGGTCATTTTTGAGTAAAGGTCAAGTTCAGTCTGGTTTATTTTTAGGTCTTATTCAAAGGGTAATTCTGTCCAAATATGAAGACAATCCTTTCAGAAATTCAAAAAAAAAAACAACAACTAACACATTATGACCAAGATCAAGAATTTTAGACGGAAACCGGCAACAGATGATATGACTGTAGATCGAAAGAGCCAAATTTTTTTCTTCAAAAAAAGTGGATCTAATAAAATAATTTAATACCAAGTCCCTTAACACTCAATTGGCAGGTGCAATACTACATGATTATGTAACATGATATTTGTATGTTCTTAAACATGTTTTGTTTGTACAAAACAAAACACAAAACAAATGAAAATAGCCACGTCAAAAACTTCTTAGAGCGTATAAAAAAAAAAAACCAAAAAAACTTTATCTCCCAAAAGGTTTTTCTGTTTTGTTTCACCAACACATGTGGCCATCACCTTATGATATGACACCATATACCGGTATATTGTTTTACCAATCTATTATAAAGAATCATGACATAAATGAATCCAAGTTATACAACTGAATTCCAACAAGATGATATGTTATTCATTGGTGGTAAAATAAACCTTTCATCCTACTTCATTATTATTTGGATTACTTGGATTTCTAGGATAGAAAAAACCCTGATGAAAATAATTACACCTTCAGATATTAGACATGCTAATATCTGAAGGTGTAATTATTTTCATCAGGGTTTTTTCCCTCAGAACATGAACCCGAACCCAAGAATTGAGAATTTTCATAATGTTTCAAACAAATTGGGAAAAACTAATGTCATATTGTATACAATACATGTATACATTGTATATCAAAAAAGAGAAAGAAATTAAATATTTGGTTAATTAAACTTCTTTTAATTTATTCACTTATAAGCACATACATGTATAACAATTTAGAATGCAAAATTACAATTTTCAATGGCACAGTGCAGTTAAAAGTAACAATATGACAATAATTTTGACTTATTTTATTTTTTGCTACTTAAATTCAAAATTTTCTTTTTGACATTAGGAAAAACAAGAGCCCGGTTTGAGCCGGGTGATGCTCCCCGAATAGGTTTTGGACACATGAGGAAAGTACACCTCTTGTAGTTTCAGAGTTATGTCCGTGGAAAAAGTTCAAAGTGCAATAATTCCAAAATTAGGCAAGGCTGTTACAGTTTTTTGCACTGCACTTCTAATCAATGTGATCTATCAACTTACAAAGTTTCTTGATGATATCTCTTATGATTTCCGAGTTATGTCCTGGACAATTCAAAAAGTAATAAGAAAGGGCAATAACTCCAGAATTAGGCAAGGTAGAGTTATGATTCTTGTGCACTGCACATCTACCCATTGAGATTTATCTACCTACAAAGTTTCATGTTGATATCTCTTATAGTTTTACAGCTATGTCCTGGACAAGATTTTTCTAAAAGGGGAGATTATTAAAAAATAAGGCTTAACAGAGTTATGGTTCTTTTGCACTGCACATCTATCCATTGAGATCTATTCACCTACAAAGTTTCATGTTGATATCTCTTATAGTTTTAGAGTTATGCCCCGGACAAGATTTTTCTACAAGGGGAGATAATTCAAAAACCGGGCAAAATAGAGTTATGGTTCTTTGACACTGCACTCCCCCTCGATGCCCTCTACCACTGTATGAAGTTTCAACAAATTATCTCCAAGGGTTTTCAAGTTATGTTCCGGACAAAGTTTCAAAGTATTAAAATAAACAAAGGGCAATAACTCCAAAATTAGGATAAAAAGAGTTATTGTTCTTATGCAATGCACATCTATGCATTGAGATCTATTCACCTACAAAGTTTCATGTTGATATCTCTTATAGTTTTAGAGTTATGCCCCGGACAAGATTTTTCTATAAGGGGAGATAATTCAAAAACTGGGAAAAGTAGAGTTATGGTTCTTTGACACTGCACTCCCCCTCGATGCCCTCTACCACTGTATGAAGTTTCAACAAATTATCTCCAAGGGTTTTCAAGTTATGTTCCGGACAAAGTTCAAAGTATTAAAATTAACAAGGGCAATAACTCCAAAATTAGGACAAAAAGAGTTATTGTTCTTATGCACTGCACATCTACCCATTGAGATCTATTCACCTACAAAGTTTCATGTTGATATCTCTTATAGTTTTAGAGTAATGCCCCGGACAAGATTTTTCTATAAGGGGAGATAATTCAAAAACCGGGCAAAATAGAGTTATGGTTCTTTGACACTGCACTCCCCCTTGATGCCCTCTACCACTGTATGAAGTTTCAACAAATTATCTCCAAGGGTTTTCAAGTTATGCTCCGGACAAGACAACGGACGGACAGACGGACGGACGGACAGACGGCAGACGGACAAGGCGCCGACTATATGCTCCCCCGAAATTTTTCGGGGAGCATAATAAAAACACATACATTTTTTCATCTTTAACATGACCTTATATCGGTCATCAAAATGGGCAAGAAAAAAATCCCTGTCTATATAGCAGATCATATAGTTTAAAGGCGCATAAAGCCTAAAAAAACATAATTTTTATTTTTAGAAATATCAAACAGGAGTTTAATAATGTTTCAACAATGAATTTAGAGCATGTTACATGTTTAAATTCTAAAGAGAGTAGTGCTGAACATGCAGTAATGTGTTGTAAAGGTAGCAAAATGTAAACAAATTAGTATTTTGACTTTCATACAAAATACTTATTCACTATAATTATACTAATGTCTAACATAGCAACAGAAGCAAAACTTAAGTTATGTAGATGAACAATGAGTATATTTTTGGAAACTGTAACAAGATGCAAAAAAATAAGGTTTTAAGAAATAAAATGATAGCATTTCTGAGGCTTAATGGGCTTTACATGAAAAAAAAAATCATACAATTTGATGAAAAAGATCATTATATTCTCATGAAAAAGGTAATACTGTAGAACTTCAGTAAGTCGAAGCTGACATGACTTGCGTAAAAATACTTCTAGACAACAGAACTTCGACTCATGTATCGGTGTCTTCATTGATAAAATTTTGAGTTGTTGACATTTACAAGTGACACTAAAGGCGTAACAAAAGGCAATAACTTAATCAGCTTTTAGTAAATATATTCTGTGTAATTATCACCAGACACTAGGTCTAGGATATAAAAAGTCATAAAAATTCAACTCAAATATAGGTTTTAATAAAGAATATATACTGAATAAAATCTGAACTTTAATTTACATTGACATTTTGAGAAAAAATTGGCACTTTCATTTACTTTGATACATCGAGAAAATTGACTTATCTAAGTTCAACACAGATGTACTCTGTATGTATTACTGTATTTTAAAATAAAAAGAACTCTTCTTATGACCTTTTAAGATTTTAATATCGTTTAGTAAACCGACCACATTTATGCCTTTTTCTAATATTTAACTATTTATGAATATAACTGAACTGTTGCCTTGTGGAAAAAGGAAAAAATGTTTGTGATAATCACAAGGGATACAACAAGTTGTTTCCTTTTGTTATGCCTTTTTGTGAATCACTTGTACATGCTGATAAAACTGGTCATAAAATTGAGGCTGATACAGGTGTTGAAGTCCCAATGTTTTGGAGTTCTTATGTAAGATCGTTCAACTTCAACTTATCGAAGTTATCCTGCTTTTTAATGACCAATAGGCAGAGTTTCTCATATTAACAGAAATTGTACTTATGATTTTGCCACAATGATGTTGCAGATATTTAGGCTTATAAAACTCATTTTAGTCATCTGGACACCAAAATAAGAACTAGAGATTTCATATGAAACCAATTTTCATAACGAAATGTAGCTATTTCTGTCTTTTTTTATGAAATTTATAAAATGCAGCTTTAAAGTGATGAATACTGGGCTACATTGAAGTTTTTGCACACCCACGACAATGACACCACGGAAATCATCACAATAGCTTGACATTTCCTTTGAAACTGACCAGCTAAAAATCATTTTCTAATATTTAGCCATATATTTTTCAAGGACAGTAAGCTTTTGCATGATTTCAGAGGCAGAACAAAAATATGAGCCGTGCCATGACAAAACCAACATAATGGGTTTGCGACCAGCATGGATCCAGACCAGCCTGTGCATCCGCACAGTCTGATCAGGATCCATGCTGTTCGCTGACAGTTTTTCTACTTGTTACTGGGTTTGTTAGCGAACAGCATGGATCCCGATCAGACAGCGTGGATGCGCAGGCTAGTCTGGATTCATGCTGGTCGCAAACCCGTTATGTTGGTTTTGTCATGACGCAGCTCATATGTTGTACTGATATAATTAATTTGCGATCCTACTTACCATCCCCTGCTAGAAGTGGCTCTCCCTTTTTACAAACATCAGGTGAGCTTGTACAATTAGCCCCTGGAATTCTTATATCCTGTTGAATATCAAATACAATTATATAAAGAGGATATTGATTGAGTGAAGGTTTCATACAAAATTTATTGAACGAGTTGCATAAAATCGTATTATTATGCAAGGCTCTGGCTTGAATCTACACAAATGTAATATTCTATTTATCACATATTCAAAACAAAAACCAATTAAAATTACAGAGTCATTTTTAGCTTTGAATGAGTGAAGGATTCATACTGAATTTATTGAACGAGTTGCATAAAATCGTATCATTATGCAAGGCTCTGGCTTGAATCTACACAAATGTATTTTTCTATTTATCACATATTCAAAACAAAAACCAATTAAAATTACAGAGTCATTTTTAGCTTGCTTGAATGCTATGTTTGCATTTACTAAGAAAGCAAATGATGTCACACCAAAATGTTAATACACTAGTTTAATATTGTTTTTATTAAATGGCGTATTACACTCCTGCGCCGTGGTTTATGTGATATACACATGTATTGTTTAATGTTATAATATAATGTTTCAACTGACTGACCTTTGATTCAACTTTGAGACCGAAAATTATATTTCTTATATGTAATTGATAGTATCGTGTATTAAAAATAAGCTTACAGTCATGTATCTTGAAACTCCTGATAGGGATTGTAATTTCTACGATCTTGAATAATTCAAAACTGAAGCTTTAGGTCACAAGGTTAGTCTATTTAACACTGACATATTTAGAATGAGAGCTATCGCAGGAGTGACAAATACTTCCTCATCTCTACAAAGGTTGGTCGCCTAAGTTCATATCCCACATGGAGCTTGCAAGCTCTTGTTTCCTTGAGTAAGAAACTTTTACACTTATTGCTTAGTACTGGTTGGTTCAAGGAATGGATCCGAGAGTGTTTCAATTAGCTTAAAGCTTCCAACACAATCAAGCTAAAATAAATTTGTATAAACAAATGGTACATGTACAAAAAGAAGACAACAAAAAGAAGACGTACCTCTTCACAAGTTCCATTTTTCTGGTCAGGGGTGATAATCAGGTTTGTAATTACAAAGAAAGCATTGTTCTCCTAAAGAAACAAAGACAAAAAAATACTGAGATACATGTAAGTAATACAAATCCAAACTTGTTTTCATTCCATACAATATTTTAATAGATAAAAACAATGATGGGGACACATCTGAATCCCTACACTGTTTTACATACCTTTTTAATAACAATGTTTAAAGGCCCATCCAAGTATTTCTCTCTGAGGCATAATGTATGGTAAATTTTCTGTGTATTTAAGAAACAAATTTTTCTTTATATAATGGCTAGATATATTATATAAAAGCATAGAAAACTCCATCATTTGAAAACTTTAGTCAATTTACTAAATAATTAAAATACAAGATTTTTTGTAAATTTGATTTATAACAAGAGGATAATGATTGTTGATTCAACCCACAGATATCGTTGCTTGCAAAAGGGGATAATTATTCAAAACATATAATTCAACCAGCTTCTTACCATGTGATCAAAAGAAATAAATAAACTCAGTTGGCTCTCTATGCTTTGTGAGGGTCCATCCACCCTTTCAGGCACTGAAGTATAACACTAACAGATCTATATATTTTAATCACTGTTAATATTAGGTCAGGTGTAATTAAGTTGATGTGGTAAAAATGAATATTCTATGACAGTACGGCAGAGTGATTAACACATTGGACCAGTAATCTAAGGATTACTGACTGCATGGATTAAAACCCTGTCAGGGGCAAGCCGTTGTTTCCTTGAGTAAGAAACTTTTTGTTCATTGCTGAGTACTGGTTGGTTCCAGGAACAGAGTGTGGTTTGAGAGTGTTTTGAAAAAGCTGATAGTTTCCAACACAATCATACTAAAACTTATAAATTCTAACCTGTGGAGGGACTATATAGTCTGCCACGTCCCAGATTTTTCCATCATAGTCTGCAACACCTTTCACCTTCGTCGTTATTGCTCCTTGAACATTATCAAATTCTTGATACCCTTTCTTAAATATAATTGCAAATCTGTAAAGAAAAGGAAATATTGGAGGAGTTAATTGAACCGTCGGGTTTTGACCCATTCTATACCATTTATTTGTTCATATAATGCTGTTTAAACTTATAAGCATTACAACAAAATATAAACAAGAGCTGTCACACAAAAGTAACAAATGCCCCCAAAGAGGTTTCTTAAGCATTGCAAAAAGGTATTATGAAAAGAAAAGAGAATGAAAGTAACTAATTGCTTACTATTGTTCTTGTGAAATTAAGTGCTATTTACAGCAAACTTACCACCTTGGAACATAGGTCTTGGAAGCCACACAATGTAGTGAGGTAGACATTTGTGCCAAGTTATTTCAAAGGCCCTAAATGCATGGCAAGTTTACAGTCTGGATAAGATTGTTGTGTAGGTAGGGATGGATATACCGACATGAGCCTTAGCTGCAACACATCGTCTTGATGTGGTAGACACCATTTTATCAATCATGTAGGCCAACTTAATGATAGCCAATTTGTTATATTACATTAGACCTTGAGATGTGTACACCAAAAGCATTTTTAGTTTAATAAAAAACATCAACCAAGGCAACTTGAGTTATTTGTCGGAAACTTATGTACATGGTCAATGTGACTTTGACCTTTGACCCTTAAATCAATAGGGGTTATCAACTGGCCAAGACCAATGCACTCATGTGTTGTCAATATATTGATCAGAAAGTGTTTTACCTAAAAGGTCAATATGATCTTGACCTCTGACCCCTTAACCCCAAAAGTTAATTGAGGTCATCTGACCAAAAGCAATGTATCTGTAAAGGTTGAAGGTCAAGGGTTAATGGGTTGTCCAGTTATTGATAGGAAACCATTTTGACATAAAAGGTCAATGTGACCTAAACCTTTGACCCCTTGACCCAAAAATCAATAGGGGTCATTGACTGGCTGAAACTAATGCAACTATGCAGTTCGAAGGCCAATGGCCAATGGGTTGTCAAGTTAATGATCAGAAACAGTTTTTACCCACCAGGTCAAGACTACCTTGACCTTTGACACAATTTTAATAGGGGCCATCTACTGACCAATACCAATGCACCTATGCAGTTTGAGGGCAAATGGCCCATGGGTTGTGAAATAATTGATAGGAAATCTTACCTACAAGCTCAATATGACCTTGACCTTTGACCCCTTTACATCAAAATCAATAGGGGTCATCTACCTGCCAAGAACAATTCACCTACGAAGTTAGAGGGCTTACAGCCCATGGGTTGTCAAGTTATTGATAGGAAATGGTTTTTACCTACAAAGTCAAAGTGACCTTGACCCCAAAATCAAAAGGGGTCATCTACTTGCCAAGACCAATGAACTTATGAAGTTTGAGGGCCAAAGACCCATGTATTGTCAAGTTATTGATCGGAAACCATTTTTACCTACAAGGTCAAGGTGGCCTTGACCTTTGACCCCAAAATCAATGGGGTCATCTACCTACCAGAGACCAATCCATCTACAAAGTTTAAAGGCCAACAGCCCATGGGTTGTGAAGTTAATAATAGGAAACAGTTTTTACCTAAAAGGTCATTGTAACCTTTACCTTTGACCCCAAAATCAATAGGGCTCATCTACTGGTCATGAACAATCCTCATCTCAAGTTTGAATTTCCTTGGGGTACGTGTTCTTTAGTTATTGATCGGAACGCTTTTACCTACAAGGTCAATGTGATTTGACCCCAAAATCAATAGGGGTCCTCTACCTGCCAAGACCATCGCACCTATGAAGTTTGAAATTCCTAGGCCTAAGCTTTCTTTAGTTATTAATCTGAAACCATTTTCTACTTAGAAGGTCAATGTGACCTTAATATTTGATCCCTTTACCTCAAAATAAATAGGGGTCATTTACTGGTCATGAACAATCCTCATACCAAGTTTGAAGTTCCTAGGCCTAATTGTTCTTAAAATTTAGTTATTGATTGGAAACTATTTGACCTACGGACAGATCAACAGACCAACACACAAATGCAAAGCAATATATCCCCTTTTCTTTGAAGGGGCATAATTATGGCGGGATAATGTCTCTTGCAGGCAGGTATTAAGGTAAGCAGGTAGATCAGCAATCAGACAGACCTTAATGTAGACAGATTAGCAAGCAGTCAGGGCCAGCATGTAGGAAGTACTATACAAGCAATCCCGACATCTGTATCACTATACTGATATACTTATCTGTATTTCTGCACAAATGATGCTCTTAACATTGATCAAATCTGCAGAGGTGGAGCAATGTCTTATATACATGCACACACCTTGCCTGAAACTTTGATGTCTTGAAATTAACTAGATGCGGAAAGTAGAAAAAATGATTTCATTACTTATATACATGTATTATTAAATCTCCTGACAATATCAATGCTAAGAGCAATATTGTTCAAACAATTTCTTATTATATTTCATCATGTCAGATTGTCACGATTCATCAATAATGCAATAAAATATGTGAAATAACACAACAATAGAGTAAAGAGGGAAAAAATGCTTGTCTTGGACCTTAGATGATACAGTGAAATGGAATTGACTTACACAACAAAGCTTTAATGAAATTGTTGAAGATATTTTTAGATTGAACCATAATTATCTTTCCATTACTATAATACATAATTATTATTATCTATGAAATTCAGCTTGAACTCCGCTTTCTTTATTTTGTTCAGTTCTTAAGAAATATGATCCTTTTATTATTAAAAATCATCAGACTGTTAGTATGTTACAATCAATGTCAAAAACTTTTGAGAAAATTATAAATGAACAATTAAGCTACCATTTTGAAAATATATTTCATAACTATCTAGCCGCTTTCAGACCAGACTACGGATGTCAGACAACTCTTTTGGGTCTGGTTGAGGACTGGAAGATGGTATTAGATAGAAATGAGCATGTGGCAGCAATCCTAATGGACCTGTCCAAGGCTTTTGACTGTCTTACAGTCCAAAAGCTAGAGGCATATAGGTTGTCTGAAAATTCATGTGCTCTAGTTTCAAACTACATTATATCTATCAAACAGAAAACAAACAGTTAAAATAGGAGAATATCATAGCACTTGGCTTAAAACAATTAAGGGAGTGCCTCAAGGCTCTATTCTTGGACCTATGACCTTCAACATCTTCATGAATGATATTTTTTTACTATTTTTAAGTTTTAATTCTTGATAAATGTAAAGTAGGCATATTTACTTTTTTTAATAGTGTGTCATAATGTAGAATTAAAATCATTGAATACTATTCTTATTTTTATTATTATTTTTTTATTTATTTCACATTGCTACATGTATCCAGGGGTTTATTTAAACGGACACCCGCTTGCCTGCTTTGGGTAGAAATCGCCGGGGCAAGTGTAATTTGAAAGCAAATTGCCTGGTGGGCAAGTGAATTATTTTATTATTTTTAATAAGTTCCAAAAAATAAGAGGTATGTATAAAACTTTTATACAAATAATTCTATGTAAATAGATTTAAACATCTTCATGTAAAACCTTTTTAACAAATTACTTTTATAAATATATTTGAAAGGGAAACCCCAAACAAGACTGGTAAATCTGTGAAACAGTTCTTTCGTTTTAAAGAAAAATTGAGTACTCTATTTGATATGGCCCAGCAAATAAATTCAGCCATGTCGTAAGAAAGAAATCAGTCATTTGTTCTAGTTTGACAATATTTTGCTTGCAAACTTGTTATTTTTGGAACTTGTTAAAAATAATTTTAATAAATATTATTCTCCTCGAATCAATATCCAGTGACGTCACAAAATGGAGTCGGCGACAAACTCAGATCGTGGGAAATAATCAGAAAATGTTGAATTATTCCTACATAGCTACGTAATTAAAAAAAGTTATCGGTGGTATTTGATGCATTTATGTATTGTTTATCGAAATGGCCAGATAAATTATTTTGATCCGTCACAATGTTTTGTTGATTTGTTCGGCGTAATTTATGTTGGGGTGGGGAAAAGGTGTTTCATTCCTTGTGTTTATTTATACTGTATAGGGGGTATATTTTGGATATTATCAGTAATATTGATAGAATTTCAAGTTCCTGTGGTAAACCCCTGATGTATCATACTTAAACTATCAGCTCATTTTTTATACTACAGTCATTTATTATTTTAAACTGTTATTACCTTTAATACAATATGTACTGTATGTGCGTGTCATCATACTTTGCTTTAATTTCTTGCTACTTTTACAAAATGTATTTCATGCCTAAAGTTGCTACTAGTTTTAAATGTTTTTACTTTTCAGATCTGTTAAATGTTCAGTGTTTGAAATTAGCAGTAGTCCTATGGCCCCTGACAAATTAATTTCTCCTCGGGCTACCAACTTTTCATGGTAACAAGCCCGACCAGGCTACTGTATTTTCAGAGGCAATATAAACAACTGTTTTGAACAAATGAATTGTGCTAGTGAAATGTCTTTTGGGCTAGTGAATATTTCAATCTGGTAGTCCGACCAGCCTAGTGGATTCAAATCCTAATTTCTTACACTCAGAGCAACAGATAAGCGTATAAGCGTATTTGCGTATTTACGCAATTAATTTTATAAAATACGCAATTGATTTTTTAAGAATGCGTATCAAAACCCATTAAAAAAAATAAAATACACAATTGTCTTAAAAACCTGTGCGTATTGTCATTTTTATCACTGCAAAATTAATCTGTCGTACACTCGTAGTTTTGGACAAATTATATCGATATGCATGATATCCGAATATTCCCGAATCAATGCTAACTAATCAATGGTCTCCGGTCTTCGACGGTCCCCGGTCTCCAAAGCCAGACTAAGTAGGAGACCGTCGATTTGTCTACTCAGGTTGACGGTCTTTACAGACCGGCAGAGACCGTTGATTTTGCGGAGACCGTCAATAAGTAGGTCCCAGCTGTATCAATAGACACTTTGAAAAGCAATATGGCGTCGTACAAAGTGAAAATGATTTGGAACAAAACAGTCGCAAATAATCAAAAATCAGTCAGAAAATGAACTTGTTAAAAATATTATGAAATTTAACATGAGCATTTTATATATAAAAAATAAAACAATTGTGAAAAGTTCTAGTAAATTGTTAATCCTATTTTCTTTTTAAAACAGTTAAGATATATAAATTTAATTTTATTGATATTGAAACCATAAAATTCATATCTTCATAATTGAATACCCAATTGATCTTGAAATCAAAGGGTATCGAGTTTTGGGATACCCAATTAAATGGAGCCAATACCCAATTCCAATGGAAATGATGGAGTAATACCTAATTCACTTTTAAAGCTTATCTGTTGCTCTGTACACTGAATGTTAGCAAATATGTTTTATGTATCTAGTATTGTCGGTAAATAGCTTATTAGCCAATGTTTCTTGTAACATGTAAACCGACTTAAAATAAAGTTTCTTGTATCAGTTTATCATGTTTATAATCAGTATAATGGTAAAGTGAAACCAAAAATTTCTATGAAAACCACGCAATGTCATTTACACTGACTTACCCTATAATATAGCCAATAATACAAAGTTGAAGAAATCTGTTAGTGACACCAACTTTTTTGCTTTTAATATGTACAATTCTTGGAGTATCATACTCGAAAAACACACCAACAACGGCGCTACAAAAAGCCCCCATTTTGTCTGTCACATGATCGTGATTAGCATTCGGAACAACTCGAAGTTTTTCTATATTCGTAACTTTTCGGTCCTTCCCGTCAGTCATCGGCCCTTATCGTCAAAATTTTGACGAGACTTTTAAATTAAATAAACCCCAATTAAAGCGTAAAATCAAAAAATTTTAATGAAATGGCCCCATTTTTTTTTAAATTTTAACTTTAGGGGAAAAATCAAAAGTAACCAGTTTTGACGGCTTTTCATCCCTTTGAGGCCTGCAATAGTTAAAAAAATTGCCCAATACGAACAGGCCCAAAAACCAATCGTAACCAACTTCGGCAATCTCCGTCAAGTTCGGATTCTTGAAGTCGCCCGAGTGTTCCGATTGGGCCCAAAACATCACTTTTTCATCAAGGGGGTGTCAAGGGGGTGGTGCGTCCTGCCTGCTTGGGGTTTGATGGGGATCACAGACCCCCCCCCTCAAAAAAAAAAATCCCCTCCAAAAAGAAAAAAAAATTTAAGTGGGGTAATAGCAAATCAAGAGCTTTTAATAAATTTGATATAAAATTTATAAACCCGCACTCTGTTGTACTGAATAAGCCCGCGTCCTGCCTAGCCTCTGCATGCATGTTGAAAATGGCTCACTGATAATAAGGGAACATAATAATTCGTTACATATTTGGAAAAGACAGAGTCCATTTAAATTTGCATCTTAACCAAGACTTAGGTCATGTGATCAAATTTTATTATTGTAAGTAACAAAACATGCAGCAATTGGAAAGCTCCGCGCTAAAATAGCCTAATAACAGAACTTAAACCAAATCATTCCTACCTCCCACAGGCATTTATAGCTATCAATTTAATACTATTAAAGTACATTTTGAAGTTGATGAGACATAAGGCTTGAGTACAGATGGCTTTAAGTATGATGAAGTGGAAAAAAGTCTTACAGATTAGTTTATGCTGAAAAGAAACAGAGAATTCGAGAGATATGAATTTCGGAACATATTAAACAACAGGACAATTCATATGTAGATCAATTGTACACAAGACTCTGCCAAAAAGCAGAAACTTGCGAATTTACCAATAAAGAAGACGAAATCAAAAACCAAATAATTCAAGGCTGTACTTCAAGAAAACTTAGAACAAATATCTGGAAGAAGACACGCCTCTAAAAGATATGGTGACAATGGCAAGAATTAACAATGGGGATTGCGGAAAAACAAGCAAAAGCAATGAAGCCACAATAGAGGAGATAAATAAAATTAAAGCCGCGACAGATACAAATTACAGTTATCAACGTCAAGCACAAGTTAACGGTAACAATTATTATACAATCTAAACAAAAATGTAGAATCTGTGGTGACAAATACCCAAATCAAAACAAGTGTCCAGCATATGGAGCGACATGTAATTATTGTCACAAGGAAAACCACTTCAAAGCAGTATGCCGGAAAACGTACGCGTAAAAGAGCTCAGGTTCATTGAATTGAGCAGAACAAAATGACCAATCGTCGTGCGACCCAAAGCCATTATATAGAGTGAATGTTTTGACAAATGACAAAGTTCCGAAGTTAAATTTATCAATAAATTGTATTAAAAGACAAACCTTCATTGACACAGGAAGGTTAATAAATATTATCAGTCAGAATGTCGTTGACACCAGTAGAAAAACGCTACAGCCAAACAGAATGAGAAATGCTTGCATGTGTTTGGGGCTGCAAACATTTTTACATTTATTTGTACGGAAAGGCATTTAAAAAAGTTACAGATTGCCGACCACTGCTCTCAGTATGCACGAACTCAAAACTAATACAGTCTGCTAGACTTGAACACTGGCGATTAGGACTACCACTTACAACTTTACTGTCAAGCAATACCTGGGAATAAAATATTACTGTTCCTGACATCCAGTAAATAACTACTCTCAAGAACATATAGCATAGGACTACGTGAATTTTATTGCCAATTCCGCAGATCCCAGTTCATCAAATCTGCAAGCAAGTACTATTTATATGCAGCCCAAGATTGTGTTTTGACATGCATTATTTCGGCGCTTCAAATGAACACATGGACTAAAACATGTGCCGGTGATGGCAGAAACAACCGTTAACAGCTGACAGACTACTACTTGGAAATATGGTATCCTAAAAGATCTAAAGGATGCTGGACTTAAAGGCAGACTTCCTCATTTCATTTCTGGATTTTTAAACGGTAGGCACTTTAAAGTAAGACTTGGTTCAACTTTTTCTGAGGATCACTAACAAGAACAAGGTATTCCTCAAGGAAGCATACTTTCTGTTACACTTTTTGGCCTTAAAATAAACAATATTGCTAGCGCTCTTACACCAGGCATAGATTGTTCTCTATATGTAGATGATTTTCGTATCTGCTATCGATCGAAAAGTATGAGAACAATTGAAGGGCAACTTCAACAAAATTTAGATTAAATCCAAATGTGGGCAATAGAAAATGGTTTTAAATTTTCAAAGTCAAAAACTCAATGTGTTCATTTTTGTCGATTGCGGAAACACTATAATGACCCTGAACTTTACATATCTGGTTCTAAAATTCCAGTAGTTGATGAAGCTAAGTTTTTTAGGAATTATATTTGACAAAAAACTTTCTTTTATGCCACATATTAAACATTTGAAAACTAAATGCCTTAAAGCTTTAAATTTACTAAAGGTTTTTTCAAGTACAAATTGGGGATCAAATTCTTCCACATTACTGAAATTATACAGAAGTCTTATCCGATCAAAATTAGATTATGGTTCTGTTGTATATGGGTCTGCAAGAAAATCATATCTTCAAATGCTAGATACCATACATCACCAGGGTTTATGGTTAGCTTTAGGTGCATTTCGCGCCTCACCTGTAGAAAGTCTATATGCGGAAGCTTGGGAACCATCGCTTCAACTTCGTCGAAAAAAGCTATCACTTCAATATGCAACTAGAATTTCATCAAATAGCAAAAATCCAGCCAAAAATATTATTTTCAAATCAAGTTATGTTGAAAAATTTGTTAACAAACCAAAGGAAATTAAACCATTAGGCCTTCGTTTAAAAGATGATTTAGATAAACTTAAAATTAATCCAGACAATATCCTTCAAAATGACGATGGGGATGTTTCACCTTGGACTTATAATTCCCCTGAAATAAATATTAACCTTTCAAATATAAAAAAGTCATCAAATTTACATGAACATTTCAAAGAGAAGTTTCTAGCATTTAAGGAAGAACATGAAGATTTTATACATATTTATACGGACGGTTCAAAGGAAGGTTGCAAAGTAGGTGCGGCTGTGTTTGAAAATAATTTTACATCTAGTATGAGGTTACCAGATAATGCATCAATTTTTACTGCTGAAGACAAAGCTATAGATTTAGCATTTTCATACATAGAACAGCATACCCATGATAAATTTGTGATATTTTCTGACTCGCTTTCTGTTTTAATATCCATTAAAAATAAAAAATCTGACAATATCATGATAAAAAACTTTCTATTACGATTTCATGATATACTTAAAAAAATAAAATCTGTTAAATTATATTGGATTCCAAGTCATGTAGGTATACGAGGAAATGAAAAAGTAGATGCTTTAGCTAAACAATCATTAAATTTTCAAAAAACTGACTTATTGTTACCGGCTTCTGATTTTAGAACGGCTATAAATAAACTCGTTTTATCTGAATGGAAAAAAATTGGGACAATGCCGTCTTTAATAAACTCCATGATATAAACCCATCTCTTGATGTGTCACCATCTCTGTCTTTGTCAAACCGCCATGATCAAACAGTTCTTCTTCGATGCCGAATTGGACATACTAAAGTTACCCATTCTTATCTCCTCACGAATGAAAATGCCCCTTTCTGTGTAGCTTGCAATGAAAATTTTACTGTCAAGCATTTTCTTCTGGAATGTCATGATTTTTCACAAGCCCGTAATAGATTTTATAATGTAAATTCACTCAAAGAACTCTTTAATACAATTCCATCAAAAAACATCATCGATTATTTGAAAGAGATAAACTTGTATTCAATGATCTAATTGGCTCTTTTTTTATTATCATTTGCAAAGTTTTAGCATATTATAGCATTCGGCAGGATATGGCCATTTATGTGTTGACATGCCGTAAAATCCAAACAAACAAATAAACAAACAATTAAGATTAATCTTAATATTGTGACATAAAAATTATCATATTTCACTTGTGACTACCTCGAAAAGACGAGAATTAACAAGTTAAAATGGCGGTGGGTGCGGAGTAAAAACACGCTTATTAGCGCCCCCGCCATTTTTACTTGTTAAATCTCGACTTTTCGCTTGACGGGGTCTCGGGGCGAAACACAAGACTAGTGGCACAAGTCAGCCACCATACGTAGTAGCTTCCTTATGATAGCATTTTGGCATGTTCATATTGATTAATAGTTCCCAATAGGAGATTTTATCTTCTAGATTTTAACAAAGTATTTTTGACAACGCGGGATCATCTACCCAGTATTCGTCATATGACATTTGTAAGGTTAATGTGACTTACAACCCGACGAAATAATATTAACGATGAAATTATATTAATTTAGAGGTTTATAAATAAAAGCTCACAAGCCGATATTAACAGTCGAAATGTTAGGTAATATAATTACCACCTGAACCTTCTTCAATGCGAAGTAAGTTTGGATATTAGAATATTTAAACCTCGAAATCTATAAAGAAGTAACGATAAAGGATCTAAAACCTCAGAAATGAAATTGTTAGAGTACATTGACAGAAAAAATGTTAATTATAGGGAAATATACGACCACTTGAGGAAATACCGTACACCACTTTCTTAAAGTCGTAATAAATTTTGATTAAATGAATATTAACTCCCGTATGAGGATTGTCAATGATGTATACATGTATTTCCATATTAGTTTTTATGTCAATGTCGTTTGTTTGGTCAAGATTTTCAAGACATTTTTTGTAGCGTTTTCATAAATATATCATTTAATATAATCTTAAAAATATTTTGACAAATATTTCTAATATTTTAATAGATATTCATCATGAAATACATAAAAATACATATTTTTTCTTTATTTTTGTCTATAAAATGTTGTCCTACCAAAAACAATGTATTCTTTTTTGAAATTCCAGTCAGATTATGTTTCATTTAGTTTATAATTGGAATTTATTCCGATAGGATTTATTTCCAATAAAACATACAGGAAGAAAATCCAATTGGAATCAAATCCATTTGTGGAAAACACAAATCGAATTTTAGTTCAGTTATTAAATAAGATAAATGGAAAATTCAAATTAAATTCAATGAAATTTTCCGAAAAAAATGCTGTACTCAACGTTGTTTCAACGGGAAAATACACGAAAATGTGCATACGCTGACGCATATCATTAGAAAAATCCGTTTGGAAAAATACGTAATGCAGGAAAAATTCCGATCGGAATTATATTTTTTTTCTCCCAGACATTATTTTTAGCAAAAAAAATTAAATTAGCGTAAATTAAAGTCAAAATATTATAGTTAACTATCTTGTGAAATTATTTTCATATGATATAAGGACACTTACATGGTACAAATTATGTGCCGGTGAGTGTTTAATATGATACATGTATATCGGCATATCGAAATTATTTTGCACCGATGCAATTATAAAGACTAATGCTAGAGGATGTTTTACACTATGGTTTAGATTTATATAATATATTTCTTTTTTATTTGCAAGTTTTATTTGATAAAAGTTCATGAAAAAATATTTTGTTGATGAAGACACTGACTGGCAATGTCTTCACGACAAATGTACTGATAGAGTTTTTCTCTTCCATTCTTAAGCAGAACTGCGAGTGTATCTGTGTCACATTTGTTAACAATTGACAATATATTGAGAAGTATGCTCTTGAAATGGTCCATAACGGAAGGTCTGTAATAACATCAATAATATAGTTTATGTATGTAATAAGCGACAACAAACCGCGAAAGAAGTATACACGAATATTTTTGATAAGTTTGAGCTGCATGATTCGTCATATAAATGTTCATACTTTATCACTTTGAACTTTACCAACATATTGTTTTTCAAGAAATATTTTATAAGAATATCCACAATGATACATTTCTATTGTTTTCATCAATAGTTTGTAGACATATCCTTTTTAAAGGTCAGACTTAAATGTATACAAATACCGTTGCCATCAGTTTCAAAACCAACCCTTAAGGCAACATGCCCTTAGATTCATGCTAATTTTCATGAACATTAGGCATGCTGCATTAAAAATATGTGAATTGAAACGCGATATACATGTAGCAATATTTTAGCGTGTGGATAGAGACCCCCTGTGCAATCGTCGGACAGTTTCCGAACAAGTGCGGGAATACAAACCTTTCAAAAGCTAGACGGACACTTTCCCCCGACAAAATAGTTAGTATTGCTTATTGAGATTTTTACACATAACGTTAAGAATTCGAAAGATATCAGCTAACTGGCTACGGAGGTCAATAGTTAAGGGAAGTGGGTGAACGGATGCAAAGTTGTGATTAGTTAATTTGATATACCTTCTTGTGTTTCAAAACTTTTGTGTTAAGTCACACGTCATAAGTATAATGATATTGTTTTTTCTTTCTCAGGTAAATTTTCTGTCACAGATTGGAGTCATATTGACAATGTAAAATAAGATATTCCAGTCGGTTTCTGGTATCGTATAAAATGAACAAATCTCGCTCAGAAAGTGGTATTCGCTGTCTGGTTTCAAAGTATTCGGAATGAAAACTATACGATTCAAACTTTTAATGGAGGTTTGCTAATTTTTTTCTATTTTAAACAATTAGCTATAGCGTACGATTTTCATATGTAATGTTCAATCTTTAAATTTTAATAATTAATATTCATAAATAAATTTGATTATTCTAAATATATATTGAATCTTTGCATTTATTTGAGTTAAATTCATATGCATGGATAATCTTTTTTAGATAATAATGATTTTTTTATAAATGTAGTAAAATATTTTACAATTCATTCATGCTATATTAATTATTGAAAAATCATTACATCAACATGACACTCAACAATTGAAGGGAACATTGAAAAAAAATCTTAACGATTTGATTAGTATCATCAGTTGATATATCAATCTTAAATAAATACTTTATATTAGTTTTCACAATATTACAAGGCTTTTCAACACAGGGTCACAGCAATAGTGCAATTGAAATCTCAGACTGAAATCTGGAAATCTGCCCGTGAGCTTTAAAATTACATTACGTCACATTGCTTTAACGGCAAGACTCGAACCGGGTTTACTTTGTTTTTCTTTAATCTTTAAAACACTACGATCTTTCAATCTGGACAGAACCATCAAATCATTTCTTAGGGGAAAATTTAAAAATATATTTACTGACTAAATTAAAAACAGTGTAGACCATGACCAGATTGTATGGATTCAGCCCCTGGTCTTTGACTACACTGGTCACATGACCTGGTTTGATTACCTCCAGAAGGGTATAGGTTAGATAACCCCTTTTATTAAAAATAACGCTGAATTCCATCGATCATGTAATGTATTATCAAAGGCATATGGTTGACTCACACCTTTCATCGTGCAAGAACATGCAATATATAAATGTTGGGACAATAATTTACTTTTTGAAGAAATTGTTTTGTTTTAACAATGCCAAAGTAACATTCAAACAAGTTTTATAATATTATCAAAATATATAAACATGTTTTATTTCTACCTTTGCAGCCTGGCCTTGTAATCCTCGTTTCTTCTATGCTTATCATTTTATGTGCAATACTTCCAAGTGTTTCAACACGACCAGCAGACACGGATAATGGGGATAACATTAAACTTAGAAAGCGCCCTTCACTTGCTAATATCAGACATAGTATTCACGAATTAGAACAAATTGAAAGATACTACCAGCAACTTCTTATTCGAGGATATCTTCCAGAAAGTGATGCTCGTCGATTAGGTAAAGTTTGGATTTTTTTATGTAAAAATAAAAAATATTAATCTGAACTGTTGTGTAAACCAATTTCGTCAAGATTTACGTTTATCCTAATATTCTGATATCAGTTCTGATTTTATTGACATTGACTCTGATGTAACATAAAATGTAAATGATTTTGCAATTCAATTCATTGAAAAAAAGAACGCTGAATATGACCCTTAAATACCATAGGAAATCTTTCTAATATGGTAAAATTAGCACTTTTACAATAAGGAAAATCATCAAAATTGTTTTGTTGTCTCAGTTGATTTTGTCACATCTTTTGTTTATCTAAATCCTACTGTAGTAAAGTCTGATCTTACTGATCTCAAATCTTGAATAAGAATTTAATTGATTCATAAAGAATTTTCTTTTCAAAAGAAAAAGAAAAAAAGGAGGAAATCTTTCTTTATCGGAAAAAAACCCCACAATAACTTGTGTTTAAAAGATTTGCCTGGTGTTAACCATTATCTCGTCATGAACGTATTTCTCTCTGAATTTTGAATATTTCAAAAATATTTAATAAATTGAATTTTTAGAGGAATGAATAAAAACGTCATTGAATTCTTAAGCCACTGTTTTTTTAGAGAAGAAAAAACACTCTTGTTCTGCCAACTGATATCTCAAACCAAATTCTTACATAAATAATTATTACCTATTATTGCAATTAATCATGCGAACCGTTAAAGTAATCTGATGTTTTCTTTTTCCAGAACTTTTGCAAGAATTCATCGAGCAGTTGAGGAATCGTTTACACGCCCTTACTACTCAAGAACACACCTAACATGAATGCTTTCAAAGAACGTAAAGACAGAATTTAATATATTATTTAGCTAATCATTGTGATACTTGTATATACTCATAAGTTTTCTTATGTGAACTGTTTAAGATGTAAAGATATATTTCACATATCCATTGCCTCAGTAGGGTATTGAATATTATATGTATTGTAGACATGTGATGAATGATTCAAACACGCCTGCAGAATCATCTTTTTTATTAAAAAATAAAGTTCTGTTTTTTGTTAAATTGTTATGACCAAGAGTAAACGTTATGTAAGTAGCGTAAAAACTATGCTTATGTGAAATAGCAAACGGCTTGCCGTCATATTTATAGTACGTAATATTTATTTAATTTGGCCTCATTTTTTGCATATTTATTTTTTTGTATATTTTGTTTCTTTGATTTGTTTCAAGTAACGATATCTTTCCATTTCTGATATGCTGATTGTTTGAATAAAATTATTCATTTTCTTGTAATACATTCATTCTTTGTCCATTTCTTTTGTTTTGTTGTTGTAATTTTCATGCCACCGCAGCATCTGTGATGCAGTGGCATATAGCGATTCACCTGTGTGTATGTGTGTGTGTTTGTGTGTGTGTTATAAAGATTATATAGTGAAATTAATAAATCTTCTTTTAAAAACCACTAGTCCAATTTCAACCAAACTTGGCAGGATTGTTCCTTGGGTAAAGGGCTTCCAAAGTTGTTCAAAGAATTTCATTCCATGCAGAAATCTGGTTGCCATGGCAACCAAAAGGAATTATAAGAATAAATTTTAATTTCTTGTAAAGACCCATAAGGCATTAGATATTTTGCATAAGGCATCATCTGGTAGACCCTTACCAAGATTGTTCAAATTATATCCCTTGGGTCAAAATTGGCCCCGCCCGGGGGTCATTGATTTTCGCTATATGTACATATAGTAAAAACTTAAAACACCTTCTTGTAAAGACCCAAAATGCCTAGAGCTTAGATATTTTGCATAAGGCATTGTCTGGTAGACCTCTACCCAGATTGTTCAAATTATAGCCCTGGGGTCAAAATCGGCCCGCCCCAGGGGTCATTGGTTTTCCCTAAATGTATATAGTAAAAACTTAAAAAAAATCTTCTAGCAATTGACAAATGCTAGAGGTTTGATATTTTGCATGAAACATTGTGTTGTAAAACTCTAGCAAGATTGTTCAAATTATAGCCCTGGGGTCAAAATTGCCTCCGCCCTGGGGGTCATTGATTTCAATATATACATATAGTAAAAAATAAAAAAATCTTATTGTCTGAAGGTACAAGGCTTAGAGCTTTAATATTTGTTAAATAATATCATCTAAAGGTACTCTACCAAAGTTGTTCAAATTTTTGCCTCTTATGTCAAAATTAGCCCCGCCCCTGGGAGCCATAGGTTTATCTTATATGTATATAGTTAAAACTTAAAAAATCATCTTCTCTAAATTTACAAAGGATAGAGTTAAGATATTTTGCATGAAACATTGTGTAGTGAACCTCTAGCAAGATTGTCCTGCGGTCAAAATTGGTTCCGCCACGGGGTCATTGATTTTTATTATGTACATATAGTGAAAAAAAATTGTCTGAAGGTTCAAGGCATAGAGCTTTGATGTTTGATATATAATATCATCTATAGGTCCTCTACCAAAAGTGTTCAAATGTCAAAAATTGGCCCTGCCCGGGGGCAGTGATTCTCATTATGTACACGTAGTAAAAACAGAAAATAAAACAAATGTTTTCTGAATGGGAGAAAGCTATAGCTTAGATATTTGACTTGAAATGTTGTTTGGTGGACCTGTATCAAGATTTTTATTAAACCCTTGGGTCAAAATTATGCCTTGCCCAAGAGGACAGTGCCCTACTTTCTTGTCCTTTGATGTACAGCATTGACATTTTGACCATGTGCACAGTTTTAGTTGTAAAATTGAACTTTGACCTAGATTTTGATGATGTGACCTACTTTCTTGTCCTTTGATGTACATCTATGAAATTTTAACCACTAGTCCAATTTCAACCAAACTTGGCAGGATTGTTCCTTGGGTGAAGGGCTTCTAAAGTTGTTCAAAGAATTTCATTCCATGAAGAAATCTGGTTGCCATGGCAACCAAAAGGAATTAAAAGAATAAATTTAAAAAAGCTTCTTGTAAAGACCCAAAAGGCCTAGAGCTTAGATATTTTGCATAAGGCATTGTCTGGTAGACCTCTAACAAGATTGTTCAAATTATAGCACTGGGGTCAAAATTGGCCCCGCCCCGGGGGTCATTGATTTTCACTATGTACAGACAGTGTTTTAGTTGTAAAATTGAACTTTGACCTAGATTTTGATGATGTGACCTACTTTCTTGTCCTTTGATGTACAGCTATGAAATTTGAACCATGCGGTGGCATAGTATTTTTCTCAAATGCAATCTTGTTTGTTAAATGCCTATTTTGGCCGGGTTTTAAAAGAATTCTTTTCCTTATTTAATCTATATTTTTTTATCCATAAAATATGAAAGGAAAACACAGAAGAACATTGCCGAATTGAAAAGGTTGCAGGTTCGGCGTGATTGAGCAAAATCACAGCATCGTTCGAGCCTTTTTCATGGTAACTAGAAGCTTCCGTCCTCAGCCCCAGATACCGAGTTAAGTAAAACTCAACATTTAATCATAATTCTCAGTTGAGTTTTTACTGCCGTATTCATTGAAAATTTTTAATGTGACAAATTTGTGTCATTCTAAGAAAATTGGCGTATTACGGTACAAACCGAAGATTCCTTGCTTGAGAGGCAGGCGCATAAACCACCAAGAAAAAATTTCCCCTTGTTTTAATTTTCAAACCAGAAAAAAAATATGATGACCACATGCTTCAGGAACTGAAATATAATAGTTCCTGCAATTATCTATTTTCCGGGCGACATTAATATTTACACCATTTTTTTTTCATGATGTCATTTCAACAAAATAGTGTGATAATTGCTAGAGGTACTTGTTTTAACTTCCACCTTGTCGGAGTGAGTTTAATGTTTCTACCCCAGTATCCATTTACATGTAACAGTAATATATGAAAAGTACAAATGTATGGCGACATGACATTATTATGTATGTTAAAGTTTTACTATTGTAAGAAATTGCTTGCTAATCTGTTTGCTACTTGACCTATGTTTTATATTGCTTTTAACCTGAGTGCATTTAGTTCTTTTTTCCATAAATAGTATCAGTTACCCCTGGTAATGCTGCATAGTAAACATGGATTATCTAACCTTTTTTGTTAAATATTGGGTGTAGGACTGTTGTAAAAGTCCGTACTTTTCGACTTTACAATTCGATTTGAGAACGGCAATGTTTTTTATGTATAGATGTTATAAATAGTACAATAATGATACTTATAAAATGTTTTTTTCGAATACTATTCAAAGCTATTTGAGAAATATTTGTCAAGAAAATTTACTTATGCAATAAGCAAATTTTACGATACTTTGGTTTGCTTGTTCAAACTCTCATAGAATCTCGAATCGAAATCAATAAGTTCAATCTTACAAAATATTTGACACTTTTTAAAATAGTAAACATTCAGAATAAAGGAATCTAATTAATGTCTTCATACCAATTTCATTTTTCTAATCCTTTATATGTGGCTCGTTTAGTTATCGTATTTAGCGATGCTGCTCGACATTCTGTACGATACACTTCTTTAAAAAAATCTTAATAAGTGAGAGCAATTTAGTTTTTTTCAATAGGAAATTAACACAATATTTATGACATTGTAATATAAAAACTGAGCTATAAAATAAGTCAGATAATATTGAATGAAATTTTCATAACTAATCCGACATTACACCGTAAACAGCATTCGTTTTACTTGGATCCCAAGCTAGAGAACATGAACATTATATAATCAGCCTTCTAGAATTTATTCTTTTTACTATCTGCTACCAGTTATATGGGATCACACCTTTTTTACTTTCTGTCTCTAGTTATATGGATTCACACATTTTAATCACATTCTGCCTGCAGTTATATGGATTCACACCTTTCACATTCTGCCTACAGTTTTATGGGTTCACATCTTTATTTTATAAGCCTCCAGTTATATGGCTTCACACCTTTCACATTCTGCCTCCAGTTATATGGGTTCACATCTTTTTTATTATCTGCCTCGAGTTATATGGACTAATACCTTTTCACATTCTGCCTCCAGTTAAATGGATCTACACCTTTTCACATTCTGCCTCCAGTTATATGGGTTCACATCATTTTTTACTATCTGCCTCCAGTTAGATGGATTCACACCTATTCCACATTCTGCTTCCAGTTATATGAGTTCACAGATTTTTACTATCAACCCCCAGTTATATTGGTTCACACATTTTTCACATTCTGCCTCTTGTCGGGTTCACATCTTTTAACTATCTGGCTCCAATTATATGGGTTCAAACCTTTTTAATCCCTGCCTCCAGTTTTATAGGTTGACACCTCACACGAAATATTCTAAACGATGAATACATGTTAGCACATTAAATACACGCTTGATGCAATGAAATGTTTATTTGGTCCCTTTGAAGTTTTTCACATTGCATACATTAGCAAAGTTTCAGTTTAGCTGTCTTACTTTTGAAAATATATATTTACAGTATTTTCTAAAACAATGCATAACCGGTATGTTTGTGCTAGACAGACCTTTGACATGGAATACTATATGAATCTTACACCGGCTGCCGGTACAGACCGGAATATCTAGCTCGAGGGTGACTGTTTTCGGCGGTAACGAGGCTCTGCCGAGTTTCCGCTAAACAGTTACCCGAGAGCTAGATATTCCCATCTGTACCGACAGCCGGTGTTTGATTCTTTTTCTTGCATATTACATATCAATTATTTTCAGAACAGAAATTACGAAAACTGATATTCTCATTAGGCACTTTTTTCTTATAGTAGCTTATGAACTTACTAACTTCATTCATAACGATTAAGTGACGTCATCCTAAGAACGCAATTCATTCATAAAAGACGCGCAGCGATGACGTCATTTAAAGCACGCGGCATGTCTTACATGGGGCTGTAAGACAGGATTTTCTAGCACTGGTGTAAACGATAGATAATCCTGTCTGATATACAAGAAATCTTTGAGATTTATGAACAAAAAAGTAGAGACTTAAAAGTGAATTGAAAGGGGAAGGTATGTTATACAAGTTATACAAGAAATAATAGCGTTGACAGTAATAAGTATCAGACATAACTACAAACCACGAAAGAGTTATACCGGTATATGGATGTGTCTGGCAAGTGTGACATACCAGATCCAATATTACATACATCTATATCTATATAGTATATTATAACTCGAACAAATAGAACAAAAATTATTATTCATCAAATAAATATTAAAACAAAATCACTTGGAACTTTATCAACATTTTTTAAAGTTAT